CCAGAACTTGAATTGGTTGTATTATGTTTTATTTTATTCGGAGATCTTCGAATATAAATAACGCCAACATTTTGGATTTATTTCGCTGTTGAGACACCGACCAGTGAAATGAAAAATGAAAATGATTTTTCCTCAGTTTTATTTATATATTTATTAAATAAATTTTATTTCTATCTACAATGGATCTATCAGAAAAACTTAGATCTCCGGAGGGGTCTTATTTACTTATTTTTTTTTATATATTCAACATTTTATATTTTATTTTATTTAATAAATAAAAAAAATTATAAAATTCTTGGGAATAATCCTTGCGACCAACGTTTAAATTGGTTTTATTGTATCTGATTATTTTTTTAATTTTTTGAGCAATACTTTGATGGAGTTCCTTCCTAATCCTTGGGACCAGAACTTGAATTGGTTGTATTATGTTTTATTTTATTCGGAGATCTTCGAATATAAATAACGCCAACATTTTGGATTTATTTTGCTGTTGAGACACCGACCAGTGAAATGAAAAATGAAAATGATTTTTCCTCAGTTTTATTTATATTTTTATTAAATAAATTTTATTTCTATCTACAATGGATCTATCAGAAAAACTTAGATCTCCGGAGGGGTCTTATTTACTTATTTTTTTTTTATATATTCAACTTCTTATATTTCATAAGAATTTCATAAGAGGATTGGGAAGCAATTCATTTCATTTAATAAATAAAAAAATATATACAATTCTTGAGAATAATCCTTGCGACCAACGCTTAAATATATTTTTTTTATCTGATTGCTTTTATTTTTTGACTTTGGTTTTATTATTTATTTTCCATTGCCTATGTCTTTTATTACAAAAAACGCCAATGGTATAGTGATTTTTCACTTGTCGGTTTTGCCATGATTTTTTGTCAGTTTTATTTTTTATTTTCCATGTATAATGGATCTATCAGAAAAACTTAGATCTCCGGACGGGTCTTATTTACTTTTTTTTTTTTATATATTCAACTTCTTATATTTCATTTCATTTAATAAATAAAAAAATACATACAATTCTTGGGAATAATCCTTGCGACCAACGCTTAAATATATTTTTTTTTTATCTGATTGCTTTTATTTTTATTTCTTGACTTCGGTTTCAGTTTTTATCAATTAGAAAGACGCACCGAATACATTCAGTTGGAGTCGACCTTTCCAACCGAAAACATCTTGAGATGTGCTTTCCTTGTTTGATTTTTTATTCATTTTCTTAATTGTGAGCTTTTTATTCTTGGCTGCTTCATTCTAAGCTCTTCACCTTGGCTGCTTCATTCAGTTTTTAATATTATGAAAATTATTTTGAGCCTTTTTTGATGCATTAAGGTGCGACGAAATGATGAAAAATTCCTGGGAATAATCCTTGCGAACAACGCTTGAATTGGTTTTTTTGTATCTGATTATTTTTATTTTTTGACTTTGGTTTTAGTTTTTATTTTCCATTTCCTATGGCTTCTAAGACAAAGTCAAAAATATGCGAAGCTGAAGCCTTCATGGACTCCGACCAGTAAGGTCAAATTATTCATTTGAAAATGATTTTTCGTCAGTTATAATTTTATTTTTATTACCAATAAATTCTTATAAATTTCCCTGCGGCTTATCTCAATAGCTTCCTGTGTTTTTATACAACTGGTATTTTTTTAAACAACTTAAATTTTTTGATTTATATATCCAGATGACCATTATTTTTTATTTTTTTAAACAATTTTTTTTTATGGTATTTATATATGTGGGTTCAATGGAATTGTGCCCATGAAAAATTTGCGATCTCTTTGATCTCTCATTTATTCTGTCTGGTCGCTTTGAAAATGCTGGGCTGAATCCTTTATAGAAACTCAGCGTTTCCTTTTTATTTATCTTGACCATTATTTTTTGTCAACCAAAATTTTTGTTATGGTATTTATATAGTTTTTTATTTTCAATGGTTTCTTCGTCAGCTTGTGCCCATGAAAAGTTGGCGATCTCTCATTTATTCTGTCTGGTCGCTTTGAAAATGCTGGGCTTTAAATCCTTTATAGAAACTCTGGGTTTTTATGGTATTTATATAGTCTTTAATTTTCAATGGATTCTTCGTCAGCTTGTGCCCATGAAAAGTTGGCGATCTCTGTGATCTCTCATTTATTCCGGCTGGTCCGATTAGAATCCTTTGAAAATGCTGGGCTTTGAATCCTTTATAGAAACTCTGCGTTTTTATGGTATTTATATAGTCTTTAATTTTCAATGGATTCTTCGTCAGCTTGTGCCCATGAAAAGTTGCCATGAATTTCTGGACTTTGAATCCTTTATAGAAACTCTTGGTTTTTATGGTATTTATATAGTTTCTAATTTTCAATGGATTCTTCGTCAGCTTGTGCCCATGAAAAGTTTTCGATCTCTATGATCTCTCATTTATTCCGGCTGGTCGCTTCACGCGTAATTAGACTAAAAGCCCCAAAAATCGAAGATGCAATATTTCCGATTATACTACCGATTAACGGTCGAATAGCCCGGCTCATCAATAATTTTTGCTTCAGAGCCAAAAGTGAATTATTATAATGAATTCCAGCCAGACACTCGCCGGACATTGTGAGCTTCGCTTGTTTCATTTTAATTTTATTTCGTGACCAGCGTCCTTTCACTTCGCTTTACTTATTTTCATTTTTTTCTGGCCGTGAATTATGTGGCTGCCGCCGGACAACAGTTGTCCCTATGGCTGGTCCTGTCCTTGGTCATCGCAGGTGGTCGTCAATGGACTTTGGATGGACCTACCACCACCAGGATACTTTGATCAGCGTATTAAAGCTAAGAAGGGTATGGTTGAAAATTTTGTTTTTCTTTATAATTTATTTCTTGTTTATATTTTTATTAACTTATGCGCCGTTGTAAATTTTCTTAATTTAAGACGATGGAGTTTAGAGAGAGGTGATAGTTGGTAGATAGAGATCGGCTTATTACAATAACCAAAGTTCTAAAAAAAATATAAAATTATTTTGTTTTCTCCGCCGTCGTTTCAATGCCACTCCAAATCTACACAACCTCCTACGACGAGAGCCAAAATCAACTATTAGGAAGCTCAACAAAAATTGGCGCGAAAGTGTTGCTGTGTCTTTTTGGCAACACTATCTCTCAGGGTCTCTTTTAAGACCAAAGCTAGTGTGACCGAGTCAGCTAAGCGGTTGAGCATGCGTAACCGGTTCGATCCCTGAACGGCATAAAAATATTTTTATTTTTTGTATTTTTTATTTCGGATACATTTTTTAAGAATAACTGATTCTTGGAATAAATACAAGAAAATATGTCAATAAATATGTTATAAACATTTACAATCTTGATTTGCAAGAATTTGAAGTTGAAGTCTTGCTAGTATTCCATTTATTCCATTTATTTATTAAATTTTTAATCTCGACACAAGATTAAAGTTCAGAAACCTCTGCTTTAAATATACCACCTTATCAATTGACTAACAAATGAACAAGTTCTTAATGTCTTGGAATTTCTTGAAAATAGAACACAGAACCAGAACAGTTTCAAATCCGGATCGATTGCTGATCTGTTTAGTATTAACACGAAGCTCCTTCACTGAAGGCATCTTTCTGTGTTAAGTATTGAGGGTGAGCTGTACACCTGTCCGTCGTCTGTTGGCTTCTCGTAATTATTGGTTTTTTCCAGTGTGTTGTCCCACTTTGCGGTGGGCGTTGACATTGAATGGGCGTAGATGGGGGGGTTGGATTGTTTTTTTTATTTGTGTTTGTGGTTGTTGCTCTTTGCATTGTCCATCCCGGCTGGGTGTATTGGTGCGGGGGGTCAATCATTAATATTTCATGAACATTCCACATTTCCATTTCACAACGTCGAAGCGCGGCTCTCATTTTGTACTCGACGGTGTACAGGAATAAATAAAAAAAAAGTTTCTAAAGAAAATAAAAGTAATGTTTTGAAAAGAATTCTCTAAAAAAAAAACAAAAAGTCAAAGTGTTTTCTTTAAAGACTTTCATAAAACTTTAGTAAATGGTAATATATTTTTTTGAAGTTTATTTCATAATTGTTTTCTCTGTATAAGTTTTTCCAACCCCTTATCGCCCAATGATCCACACTCCCCCAGCCCCTCCACCGACTGCATTTAGACATCAAAAACCCCACTGACACACTTGCCAGGACTACGAAGGACCTGCGTGCCGCTGAAGACCACATTTAATGACCAACAAAAGCGAAATTGTGGCGAGGGTGTACGAGTATGTTTGTATATATGCTTGTAGGTATGTGGCGGGGCTTTCCATTTTTCATTTAAATGCCAGGGAATAATTGCTTTTTCCTGTTGGCGGTACTGCGGGGCTTACTGGGAAAGTGCAGACAGGTTGGATATGGTTGGGGGACAGGAGGGGCCTTCCAACAATTGTGAATGCAATTTGAAAATGCTGCCAAGTGAACAGAACGGAAGTCCTCAAAAAGAAATGCACGGGATGAAGGTTGGGAATAACCTTGACGTATATAGTTGGGTGGTATGTGAGGGGTGGAGAATTTTTAACAACAAAAGGGAATATTTAACCATGTTTGTATACTCATTAAGTACTTACAAGAAGCATATTGGGCTTTTAATAAATTATCAAGGTATTTTCTTTAATTGCTTACGTTTTAAACATAAAATTGAGTTGTTCCTATTTCAAACCAAAATAATTATTAAAAATATTGGTATACCTTTTAAGGTTTTTAAAAGCTGATATTTTAGATATCTTAGAGAGGACTACCTCCCATGGAATTTTTTCCATAGATAGACGCTTTCTCATATCGTATTCTGACATAATTGATTGATTGGCCTAATTTCCTTTAAAACTGTGAGTCTCCAACCACTGGCCCCTCTATTTTTGTATGTTTTTATATAAGGCTTGGTCTAAAAATGATACTGTGCCCTTTAAGGTACTCATAAAAGTTAAAAATAATACTCCTTACCAAGTCCATAAATACCTTAAACTAATTCCTTAACAATTTGTCCATTTCAGGCAGAAAAATGCAAGCGGCCATGGACACGGCCACCATGGCCATCTCCGTGGGTGCACCCGGATCTGGCTCGGTTTCCGGTTCCAGTTCCGGCCCGGGAAGCAGTAGTAGCAGCAGCGGCTATGGCAGTGCCACGACCACGCCCACCGGCGCCGGTCACTACGAGGCGTCGCCCACATCGATGCCCATGGCCACGATAGCCACGGTGGCACCGTTTTACAGCGAAGCCCTGACCTCGCTGGATGCCCAGCAGCGCCAGCAACAGCAGCAGCAACAGAATCCGGGTCACTTTTATCACCAGAACTACGGGTATGGCAGTTCCATGCCCCTGGATCCGGCTTACAACTATTCGGCTCCGTCCTATAATGCCTACAGTGCGCCACCTAGCGGTGGCTTGGGGCAACAGCTGTCCGGTAACTCGTATGCCGTGAGTGGAAGTCGCTATGAGAAGTTGGCGTCCAGCTCGGGAGCCAAGTACATGGGCAACACTATCGGAGGAAGTGCGGCGGGAGCAAAGCCCCAGGCCACGGCCACGCCTTTCTACGCCCAACCACTGTCCGGCGGAATGAGCGGCACTGGAGGCTACATGTCACAATCGAGTTCCATGTACGATCCGTACACGAAATACAAAATGCCCGCCCAGGCTTCGCCTCAAACGCAACTGCCGTCGATAATGATGCCGGGCAGCCAAGCAACGTCTACGGTTCCAGGTCCTTCTGCTGGCCAGCTGTACGGGCACCTGGGTAGCCAGAAGCAATCGGTGCAGATGGTACAGCAGCCCCAGCAGCAACCCCAACAGCAACCGCCCTCCGGGCAGCTCACCCAGCTGGAGGCCAACTATGCGGCCATCAAGCCAAGCAGAAGCTACCAGGGAATGCCCTCGACGGCGCTTTACGGCGGAGGAGCTGGAGGCAATTCCGGATCAATGACCAACAACCTGGCGGGGACAACCTCAGCGCAGTACTACGACAAATACGGAATGCCAGTGTCCATGTACTCACCGAATGGCGGACTCCCCATGTACACTACGCCGGAATTGGCGGCGGATACGGCGTTCAGGAAAACCGGCAACTGGGCCATGGACTACAACACGCCGAACTGCAGATCTTTGGCGCCAGTACCGCCGGTGGCCAATAGCTCGTACCATCACACGCATCCCGGGCCGGCACCAGGTTCTAGTCACGGACACGGGCCCACGGCTGCTGCTCCGAGTGATATGTTCTACACCTCCACGAAGTATGACAAGTATGGGAGTTCAGGAGTGACGGGCTACCCCAGCAATCCCTATGCGGGCACCGCGATTACCCAACCCTACGCCGGGAGGAATCTGTGGTCCGGGGCTGAGAACCCACCGCCCACCCCCAATCCCCGACAGAACTGCTGCGTCCAGGCCTATCCGATGACCCAGCAGAGCTGCTACTATCCGAGAAGCAATGGCTACGGTTATGCCACACCCGGCAGTGGCCCGCCCCAAACCCAGCCGCAGTACCCTGTGGGCAGTGGTGGCACTACCGCTCCGCCGCCCATGAAGCTCAAGCATCCGACGGAAATGTACGTGGGCCACGGTTCCCCCTACGACACGAATCCTACACAGCTCGGCTATGGCTACAATCCGCAGGCCTTGCCCGGAGCAGGGTCATCGAATAGCATAAGCAGCCAAAGATACGTGCCAGCGAGCTTGAGTCTGGGAATGAGCATGGGCATGGGCATGAGCATGGACCCGGGCAGCGCCGGAGGCTACTACAACGATCTCAATCTCAACAGCCTGGACAGCTACGGGCCGCCGCAGATGCCACCACAGCAGACGCTGCGATCGCAGCCCTATCCGCCGGATTACCGAAAGAGATCTGCCATGGTGGCCTCCAACTCGACCATGGCGGCGGCCAATCCCTGTTATTTGGGTCAGACGTCAGGCAATGGAGTGCCACTGGGTGGGCCTATCACCAATCCCATGGACAGTCATGTGGTGGACAACTACGTGGGATATAACCTCCATGCCAGTGCGAGCTTTAATGTCGAGGCCACAAAGGGATCCTCGAATGCCCAGTCCAACAACATTCGGGACTTCCTCTCCACCTGGAAGGTGGACGACGAGGACGAGGCCACTGCCGTCGTCGCTGAGCTGGTGGAGGCCCCAGCCGTGGCCGTGGTGGCTCCCACAGTTCCCAGCAACCAGAACTTCATGTACGAATCTCTGCCGCCGACCGGGCCCCAAGCCACAGCCGTGGCCGTGGATCACCAGGGTATCAATCTGCCGGACATAATCATCGACATTGGCAAGGCCAGTGTCCCCGTGGAGGACTCCTTTGGCAGCTTCGATGTGGAGAAGGAGTTGGATGAGCTGCGTCTCAAGACCAGTGTCTCCGAGCAGCCTGTCCACGACAGCAGTAGCGACGCTCTGGCCGAGATCCTGCGCCAGCCCGAGGCTGCAGCTCCTCTTGTGGTGGAACCGTCGCTGCCTTCTCTGTCGATGCCAAGTCCTATTCTAAGCAACAACGAAGCGTTCCCCAATCCTCCCACAACGCTCGACTTTGACCAGAACAACAGTTCCAACTCTAACGAATCCAACTTTGCCAAGGAGTACGAGACCTTCATACACAAAATCGATGGATCGGATAGGGAAATCGAAGGGGCTGATGCCCAGGATCGGGAGAATCCCAAGCGATTCAAGTTCTACAAGAGAAAGCGGAGAATCACAGAGCCTGGACAGGAGAATCTGGAGAAGGAGCAACAGGTGGGGGAAGCCAAGAAAACCACACAAGTGGCCTCCCTTTCACCTAAAAAGTTACTCGCCAAAAAGCGACGCAATCGCATCAAGATGCTGCAGATCCTGGAGTTCGAGAGTCCAAGGATCAAGTATGTGCACTACTTCAAGTCCTTGAAGAGATTGAGGAAGCGGTATGCCTCGAGCAGGACGAGAGAACTCCGGGCAATCCTCACAAAGAAACAGTTGACGAGGAACAAGGAACGCCGATTGCCTCTCAGAAAGCGCCTGATGAAGAAGTACGAGTCTGGGCCGGCAGCTGGAGTCCATAATCCCCAGAGCCTCAAGGGGCTGAGTGTCTCGGCACTGAACTCCTCGGAATTCAGGAGTAGTCTGGTCACCAGAGCGAACCGAGAAACTGTCATCAAAAGTGTCCACAGCTACAGGGACCAGACTGATGCGGTGCAGCATGAAGTGCACTTGGATGAGCCGCCAAAGTCTGTGGAGCAGCAGGCTCTCTTCAGAGGATTCGATGATATGGAGAACACGAATTTATCGCCGAAGATCAAGCTACGAGCAGATGAGGAGGATATGACAGAAGCGGAGAAGCCCCCTGAGCCTGCAGTGGTTCCCAAGGATGAGCAAGTCAAGGCCTGGTTGAGAAACCAGGACGCACGCAGCCAGCCTGCAGAGCCAGCCAAGACCCTGACCAGCATAGTCCTCTCCTCATCCTCGTCGTCATCGTCGAGCTCTAGCTCGAGCAGCTCCAGTTCCGACAATGAAGACTCCTCTAGTTCGAGTAGCCAGGACGGAGAAGCCTCCTCGAGCAGCAGCAGTAGCTCTAGTAGCAGCAGCAGCTCGGGAAGCTCAGTGGCCGGGGAGGAGAGCGATTTCAACGAGCTAGCCGCCCTGGAGAAGGAGCTCTCCCAGTCCCAAAAAGACGAGCCCAAAGTAGAGACCTTGCCCATGGATACAACGGAAAAGGAGTCACCATCAGTGTCGGGAACCGAACCCGAGGAGGTCTCCAACCACGATATTGCCAAGCTGAAGCAGATCTTGGAGAGCGATGGCGAGGAGGTCGCTTCGATCTGCTCCGCCGGCGCCCGAGTACCGAAGCTAAGTGACCTTAGTAAGATTGCCTTAAATAGTTCCTTAAAAGCCAGAGAGTTAGTCGTAAGTCGAGACGGAGGATCCCAAGGATCTCCGCAAGTGAAAGAGCCCGCTCATCGAGAACTGAGCGTGGAGGAGGCGCTGGCGGAGATGTATCAGCAGATTGGAGTGGCCTCCGACCCGGAGGATTTCGAGGGCAAGGAAGACGGTGATGAGGGCGATGAGCCCAATCCCAATGGGCAAGATGTCCTGCTCATCAATCTGGCCGAGATCTTTGACTCCAGCAGCGATCTCTATGTGGTGCAGTGCGACATGAACGAGAATATCCTGGGCGTGGTGACCAGCGGCGACGAGGACCAAGAGATGCCCGGCCCTGAGCAATTGAATCTCGTCCAGGTCAACCCCGAAGAGGAGGAGCAGGTAAACACCCTGCAGCTAATCCAGCTGCTGGCAGAACCCCAGCCGGAATTCGACACGCCGCTGATCCACCACGAGGAGATCGTCCACCCGGAGGCGGATGAGGATGAGAAGCGGGATCCGCAACGGAATCACCGCCAGTTGCTCAAATATCTTCACGGCAAGTATGTCCAGAGCCGTGTCAGTCGCTACTACCATGCCAATCGGGTGCTGAGGAAGTACCGGCGCCAAAGGGCACGTCCTTCGCGACGAAGGCGGTCCAAATAGGAGTGTCCATCTACAGCTTCAACCAAAGATATTTCTGGTCTGGATTACCTGGACAGGATCATTAAGAGGCGTGCCTAAACCGTAAATCACATCCACGTAGAAATGATTTTTACGACACACTTTAACTACAGAATCTCAAGACTTTTTTTCTAATATTTGGATTTGTTTTAGGAAACGGAATATAATAATATAACTAACATACATATAAACTACAACTAGTTGATGTTTTAGGGAAATCATAATTTTTAAAAAATTTTTAAACGATACTTTAAAGTTTACACTTAGTATACCATACATCATATGAGAATATTTATATATATTTTTTAGATATCTGTGCAATATTTTACATGGAAAGTGTCGTGCTTATCTGGAATGCGCGAATTCGAATCTCGATGGGTTTTAAGCCTGAGTAAGCAGAGTTATAAATGGGGTTTTTTTTTTGTTGGTTTTGTTGGCCAGGTTGGGTCAATTTTGGGAGGAACTCCAACTCGCGTGCAATTAACGAGATATATGCGAGCACATACTTTATCGGCTAATGTATCAGCGTTTTAGTCGCTCGGGCGAGTCGGGCAATTTTAAAACGCTTTCCGCCAAAGGTCAGACCTCTGATTGAGATACATTCGCGGTAAATACTTATATCGAAGCTTGCGTGTCAACCTCCAGCCAGAATGACCCCCAATAGCTTCATCTAATATACTTTACTTTAATATTTTATTTACATTTTGCCACCAAAAAAAAAATGCAGCTTAGACCAAAAATTAAAAGGAAAGAAAATATTTAATTAATTTGTTAAAAAAATTTGATCTGTTAGTAGACGAAGACTTTGTTTTGTTTTCTTTAGTTTAGTGCAATATAGGTTCCTAGAGAAATTTTTGTTAGTAGAGCTTTAAGTCTCGCCCACCCCACCATTGGTTCCATTGCATAAGGTCGGTCCATAAGTACAGTCTACTGGAAATCTGAGGCCTTTTGTTTATAGAGCGTTTCCAATCCGGCAGCTAACCGAATTGGTTTTGGTTTCCCCTCCCCAAGAATTTTCAACGCTAGACTCTTGCGAAATGCGGATGCGGAATACTATTCAAGGGCACATCGTTGCCGATTGAATTAAAACCAGAAACTTGAAGTAATCTTATCTTATAATCGAGACCACCTAGATGTCTTTACACACACACACCCTATCTCTAACACATTCCAAAGGACCAAATGAGTTTAGAAAAATCAAAAATAATAATATTAAAATATATACACAACTAATGTCTAATCTTCTGAATGTACTAGTACGCTCTTTGTTTGTAAACGATTTTTTGAAAACTAAATCATACGCTTAATTTTAGTACAAACAGCAAGAGCTAGCCCACTAAATGTAGTTTTATATATACAATAGTGTTTAGCGATAACAATAATATTTATTAATACGAAACGTGTAAATAAATGCCACTTCACCTCCACCACTCCACCACCATTCCACATCCTGCTATATATCCTAGCTATATAAATTGTATATCAAATAAAAACGGTTTTCGATGTACTACTAGTAACTTAGCCCTAAGATTTGTGACTTTATCAATGTGAGTGTCTTTAAAGAAAACAACCAAAAATACAAAAAACAACAAACATACAAAATGATATACGAAATCCTAAAAAAAGAGTATATAAATAAATGTTTTATGTAAATGTTAATTGCAAAGCGTGTTGGCTTTAATGATCTCTGATGGGTTTTATGGGCCTCCAGAATAACTTGGCCAAAAGTAAGTACAGGGTTTATTTGCATATTTGGTTACAGGGTTGTTTCTTGCGAAACAGTGGATATTTTTAGATGACTTTCAGGACTTAGGATGGGAGTCAGGGATTCTTTCATCCTTCTCTGCGAGTTATTTAGGTCATTGGGTCAACTTAGACCCTCCTCATTTTATTTTAAATTAAAAAAAAAACCCATTTTGTTTTTCTATTGTACAGAAATATTGCAAATTTATTTTGTAGAATTAAAAAAAAGAACAGCACAGTTCACAAATCTAGAATTTGCAGGCTAAAAAGTAAAAAACCAACTTGTGGGTTTAGGTTGGCGGCCAGTCCACTCCATCTCCTTCCGGAATCCGGATATAGCCTCTCCTCTCTCACTGCTCTCTCACTATATAATGTATATATACTATATATATCCTCCGGATCAAATGATTGATCTCTTAGCTTTGGTATCGTTTCCATTTTTTGTTGGTCTCTCCGACTCATCCCCTCGAAGGCTTCACAACAGTCTCCAGGTAGGCTTTGAAGGCTTCTAGGATCCTCGGTTACCTCTATTCAAAGTACCTCTTCTTGAGGTCCGGCGGATAGGTCACATAGATGTAGTGCTCGTTCTGACCGAGACCCGCCTCCTGTTGCACGATCTCGTGCGTGGAGGCGGAGGCACGTAGGGATTGCTGCGAGGAGCCCACATGGCGATGCCTCGTGTCCAGAGGACGCGGATGCGTATTATAGTGCCTCTGGGGCTCCGTGACTCCCGTTACCGTTACGGAACCAGTGCTACTGGTGGCCATGGATCGTGCCCCCGAGCTACTTGTATAGTCGCGTCGGTCTAAAATGTCCTGTGGGTAGGCCAGGCTCGTCGAGTGACGGTGCTGCAGGTGGGGATGCTGACCCACCGGATGAGGCCGATGGTGCAATGGCGTGTTGGCGTTGGAGGAGCTGCTGCGCACGGCCCCTTGGGTGGGTGTGCCCACAGGAACCGATCCCACTACCACTCCCGATCCCGCCACTGGACGCTGATCGGCGATGTAATGCCGTGGACTGTGTCGCAGATATTGCACCTGTTCCGGATACAAGTCCCGCTGCTGCTGCTGCTGTTGCACTTGCTGCTGCTGCTGCTGCTGTTGGTAATAGTACTGCTGCTCCTGGAGCAACTGCTGCTGCTGCTGCTGCTGTTGTTGTTGAGAAGCTATCCCGCCGGCGTCCAGGTCGAGGTCGTGCCGCGTGGCATAGTCCACATGGTAGTGATGACCCACTCCGGCTCCGGGCATGTAGATGCTCCCTCCGCCTCCGATACCGGAGCTGTGGCTGCCCTGATGCTGTCCGTAGTGGTAGTGATTCGCACTGATTGTCGTCTCTTCGGAGCTGAAATAGATGACTTGGGTTCGATCAATCTCAATGGGCCCGGCACACGCCGCCCGGCCAACACACACACACACTTACTCGAACAGTATCCAGATGATGTAGTAGCAGAAGCATATCCCCGTAGAGAGCACAAAGATCAGGATGACAATCAGGCCCCAGGGGAAGGCGCGCGGCTCCAGAGGTCCGTCTTCCCAGTAGCGGTCGCAGGTTAGGTACCAGCACACCGCCTTGTTCATTTCCTCTATGGAATGAGAGTCTAATTAATCCAACACCGTCCAAGAATATATATCGGATTACCCACCTTCCATTTCCTTAAAGGCCTGATCCGACATGGATAGCAAGAGTCCTCCAATGCAGCTCCTCAGAAGCATTTCACAACGGGCTTTCAGTTTGCTCAGCTCCTCCGGCTTGCAGTTGGCCCGGGCCTTGTTGCCATTGCCATTGGCGCCGGAACCCTCTTCCACTTTGGCTGGATCCGTCGCCTGACCGCTGCCCTCGGGCTGACCACTTCCCGAGCCGTCCTCCGCCCCCTCCTCGTCCTCGTCATCTTCCGTGTCGTTCTGCTTTCTGGAGTCCTGCGGCGGTGTGGCGCCGGCCTTGAGGTGCGCCTTGCCCAGCTCCTTGAGCTTGTGGAGCAGCTTCTCGCCCGCCGACTTGGGTCTGGCCGCTGAACCGTCCTCCGGGATTGCATCTAGGCGAAGCGGATTGGCTGTGGTGGTGGTTGCACGCTCTCGGGTATGGTGGAAGTGGGAATGGGTGTGTGGATGTGGGGTTCGCTCACCTGCCGGCGACTGATCCTGACTGGGCTTGGAGTCTGGCGGTAATTGACGGTTTTGTACTTTGGCGGCACGCGAGGCACCCAATGTGGAAGTTCTGCTTGGGGATTTTCCAAACAATATTAGAAATTAATTGATAATATATTGGGGGTTTCCAATACACCCACCTTGGTATTAAGCTCAAGTAGGCGGCATTCGCTTTGGCCAAGGCGGAATTTTGTCCCAAGGAATCGCCCCAGACCTCGATGTCCGTGACGATGTGCTGGTCGCCGAACTTCAGGCTCGAGGCATCCTCCGTCTCGAAGACCTCGCAGCGCATGATGTCGCAGAAGTCGGCCAGGCAAACAGAATCCTCCGCCTAAGGTTGGTTTTAAAATAAAATTTTAATTATTTCTTAAACAAATTAAAAATTAAGTGTGTGAGATAAGAAAATTCAAAGTATTTTAGGCTCAAAGGTCAGATAAGCTAATAAGCTTTAAAGTGTTTAATAAAAATGAATTAAAAAATTAATTAAAAACTATAATATTTAAAATATTAATTAATACTTACCTCATTTATAATCTGCTTGTGGCGTGTGTCGAAATGTAGATCCAGATGCTTCTCCTGATAGAAGCTCTTGCCACATTTCCGGCACGTCCACTGAGTGGGTCGATCCCGCTGCTTGGCATCCTGTCTGGGGGCGAAAACATCCCGGAAAGGATGCAGCGGACACTCCAGCGGTAGCTTCACCTATTCATATATGTTATTAAAAAAAAAAACTTAAAAAGATGCTGTGTCTACCTGATGCTTGTCCAATATTGGTGTCCATTTGGAGCGCACTATTTTGCGCACCAGCCGGCTGTTATCTCGGGAACACAGCAACCTCAGCACATTCGTCGGCGGCCATGGTATCAGGAGCAGAAAGTAGACCAGTGCAATCTGAAAGGATATACATACGTATGTTTTTATTTCGAATTTTAATTTGCCATAAAAGTAAATGGAGCTCCAGGAACACGCAACTTGCCGGCTGGGCGAAGTTGACCCAAAACCACCCTCCCTGTTTTCCTTTCCTTTTTTTTTTTTTGGGTCACTTCAAGTTAAAGGGAGAACTCGCAGAAAATCGATACGTAAAAATGTCTTCGCGGAAGCGACGAAGTCAAAGGACTCGCTCATCCCCACCAGGACCCCTTGAGAGACGTTACACCCATCATTCCCGGTAGGGACTTACCTCGAAATGATGATATTTAGGCGACATTCATACTATGTATTTGTTGTCGCTTTTGTTTTTTTTGGCTTATTTGTGATTAGAATCCTTTGGAATGCTTTTTTCCGTTTCCGCGTTTCTAGGTTATGTTCTATTTTTATTTGTATAGCTCCAGCTAACGGTAATATTTTTAAGAAGATGGCGGGTGGAGAATATTTATAAGGCAGTAGAGTTAAGATAGTATATCCAGTGATTTGCCGTTTGCAATATCGGTTTCTAACTATCTGTAGAAAAATAAAAGTAGGATTGAGCTTATATTCTACGACCGCACTGGTGAAAATTTCGACGCTCTCTGAAACCGAATTCGCCACTTCCTGTGCCGCTCTCACAAGCTCTCTCTCTCCCATTTACCGTTGTCCTGCGCCAGCTATCGACAGCTGTTCGACTTACAGGGTTGCCATTCGATAAAAGGACATGTTTTTTTTTTTTTAATATTTAAAATACTGATAAATTAAAAATCCCTCTTCTAAACTATAATTTAAATCAGTTGTTTTATTTTGTGGTAGTGTCAGGACACACTTAACTGTCAGGATAGCGCGCCTGTTTTTGTTTTTTTGCATCTTTTTCTATTTTACAAAATTCTAAACTAAAATTAAATTGTTTTATCGCACAACTTTTTGGAACAAAGTCATCTGCTGAATTGGGGGGCGTTTTCGGGTCCAAACCGAACCGGAAACCGCCCGGCTAGGCATATTAAAATACTAGGATACAGCCGGCGAGCGCTCTGGGGCGATGGGGGGAGTTCACAGTCCATTGTAGATGCGATTGATGGATGCTTGGTCGAGTATTTTCTTGAGCGCTAAAAATGGACAAAAAATTAATTAATTATTTACCCGAAATGGTGATTAAAGCGTAGCACTTACCTTCCTTGTCCTCCTCGGAGAGGTCCTTCTTGGGGAACTCCACATCGAAAGTGATGTACAGATTGCCCGTCAGGTTGTTGTTTTCAAAGTTTGGCATTCCTTCGCCCTTCTTGCGAATACGAGCACCCGGCCAGGTTATCTTCTCGCGGGTAACGGGCACTAAGTGTCCATCTAGGTGTTTGATCTCCATGGTGAAGCCAACGAGGGCGTCTTGCAGGCTGATGGTGACATTGGTGTACAGATCGTCGTCCTTGCGCAGGAAACGTGGATGCGGCATCTGCTGCACGCGCACGATAAGATCTCCCGGCTCGCCGTCGATATGGGGCTCACCCTCGGCCACGAACCGCGTCTCCTGGCCATCGACCATGCCCTGCTCCACCTCGATTTCCAGAGTGCGTTCCTCGTTGACCAGCTTGACGTTGGGACATTCGTCGCACACCGACTGCTGGATCATCTGGAAGCGGCCTGGTCCCAGATTACGGGTGACCATCTCCTGGCGGCAGTTACACTTGCGGGTGCCGGAGGCGGGCTTCATCACGGGCTTGTTGCGCACAATCTCCACAAAGTTGCCAGAGTAGAGCTCCTCAAGGGACACGTACATGTTCATGACGATGTCGGCACCGCGGGGCGTGTCCTGCTGGTGGGGATCGCCGTTGCCGAAGTGAAAGCCAAAGTCGCCGAAGAAGCTGGCGAAAGGATCGCCGCCATGATCCATCATTCCCTCCTTCTTCAGGCACTCCTCGCCGCACCGGTCGTAGGTCTTTCGCTTATCGGCATTGGACAGGACCTCGTAGGCTGCTCCCAGGTCCTGGAACTTGGTGGAGGCATCCGGATCGTCCTTGTTCTTATCTGGATGCAATTCCTTTGCCAGGCGTCGGTACGCCTTTTTTATTTCATTTGTGTTGGCATTTCGCTTTACGTTCAGAATTTTGTAGAAGTCTCTGCCGCCGGCCAGCGCCTCGTCCACCAGCAAGAGGGCCAACTGGGCCAGTATCACAAACTTGAATAGCTGCATATTATCCTTCAGTTAGCTTATCCTTTGTTTAGTGCCAGAAATTCATGCTATTTTCTCGGGAGGAAACCTAAAAAACTAAAATGCTGGCAAAATTTTGTAGTTGTTACTCGCTTAGATGTGTGTGTGCGTCGTGGGCTGCGCTGATTGGCTGCCACCGGCGAGCCAGCGTTGCCACCTGGCAGCTAACAGTGACAGCTGATGGTATCAGTGGCTATTGTGAATCAATATGTTATTTATAAATTATTAATTATTGGCTTAAAAATGTTTTAATGTATATAAAGAATTAAAAAATTAATTTTTAATTATTATTTTTAAAATTTGTTGCTTATTTTCATATTTTACATACGTATATCTGTAACACACCTGTTAGCACTTAACAGCGTTCTGTTACTGTCGAAAGTCTGGTCCTACTTTGTTTGTAGATAAGCAAAATTAAAAACGAAAACAAATAGTTTAATCTAATTAACCAGGCCACCGCTCACAGTCAGCGGCAGCTTCAGCATTGTCGGCATTTCTTAGCAGCTTGGTTGGATTGCCTTTAATACCAAAGTGCCTTTGCCGTTGGGGGTTTCTTGTATTTTTAGACAAGCTCCTACGCATCAGTTCACAGGTGATACTTTTTTTTAAATTTAATTAAATAGTTTTGTTAAGACCCTTCTAACGTTTTATTTTGCAGATACGACTAATAGTTAAGCTGGTTAGATTTACTGTTGAAAGGTCAAGTTTATCTAATCGCAGTAACTTTGCAAAATAAGTGTCAAGGCCAAGATATCCAGTGCAACGCATTTCCAGTGCATTTGTGTGCGAAATAAAAAGGTGAGTAATTCCACACTTATTATGTTAGCTGCTAATAAAGCACAATAATAATATCCCTGTGATGATGTCAACAGTTAAAGCTTGCATTGTGAATCAAGAGGCGAAGTTCAGAGGTTTGTAAACCAGGCGTAGGTACCCTCACGTACCTTCATGACAGTACAGTTTGGCTTTCCATCCAAATAAAACTTTCTACTGCCTTTTTGTTAAGAGAATTTGAAAACTTTTTGCATAAATTAAGCTTTAAATATACAAAGCTATTAAAGATTAAAAAAAAATTTTAAAATAGGTCACTAATATAAGCTACAAAGAATGATATACATTAGTTATCTTAAAAATGTAGACTTATATATGTATAGTAATGTTTCATGTACTTCCAGGCTTCCGTTTGTTATCAGTCTCTGAACAAAGAAAACTGCATAGCCCAGCAATCACACATTAAAAGTCAGGCTGAGTCAGATAAATACAAATAAACAAAGAAATCTTCACCCATATTTATGGATATATGCCCTGCAATATTCAATACTAGAGATTTTCGATAAAAAAAGGCCCCGTTCCTATTAAAATTGCAAAAACTGTTCCAGTTTATATTAATCTACATATACTACATAGGCTATTGGCATTTAGCGATATAGTTGGCTCAAAACACACACTTGTCTGCCGGGTTAATCGGGCTTGTCAGAATCTCTCTCCTGACGGGTTATCTTATCAGTGTGGGCCATAAATAGGAACCCCTCGAGCGCGTTTGTTCGAACCAAAGATCTTGGTCAAGAGTAAACAACGCACGTTTATAGTTTGATAACTATATTGGCCAACTTATCTTATGTTTCAAACTGTCAATTATAGAAATTCCATTGATGGAGCAATGTGATTTATTGAACAACTTGTTTTATTCATAAAATTCATTACACAATTATTATCGTGGGATATATTATTCAATTCCTGAATGAGAAACTCACTTTGGATAGTTTCAAGTTTTTTGAACTCAAAAACACCCGGAATTTCCCTAGAAACAACCATTCCCCAGCTCGTATCAGGACTAAGGTTCTAGATTATCAAAATCCGTAGATTAGTTTCTGAATAAAGTAGTAGTAAACCTCAAGTAGCTCCATTTAAAGACCCAGTAAAAAATCGATGGCAAAACAGTATTGCCCCGGCAGTGGACGCGTGCGGTTGCGATTATTTCAATAGTTCCCCTCTCCTGAAGTGTAAGTTATTTTTGCCACCTTACCGGAGGAAAGTGCTACTCAACTACAGTCCAGATCTACGGATGTCTGCACTTGAAGTGCCCTGTCGATGGGGTAATCTTCTCGAGCTGTCAAGTCAGTTGCAACGGACATAGCCGTAGCTTGGATTAATCTTTTTTTTTGGGTTTTGTCGAAAACCCTCAAGCTGCGGCACTACAGCGATAAGGGATATATAATTAGCTACTCGGCGGGGAGCCAGAATGTCAGGGTATATTATGGGAAATGTGGAATAAAAATTCCTTGATAACCATATCGGTTTATTGTCCTTTAGATTATGCAAGCGAGTGTAATCCTACGAACTCTGGTTGATTCTTTCCTTTCAGATGCCCAGCAGCGTTTAGGAGAAGCGCCATTGAATCCCTGATACCCATTCGATATCCATTATCCATCCACCATGTGCTGCCGGTGTTGTGGGGCAACTCAACGCAAGGTCTGGGTCTTTGGCCTGGGCTCGCTTTTTATGGTACTCGGCATTCTCACAGTGGTCTTCTGGCCAGATCTGGCGGATCATTTGGTCGAGGAGGTAAGAACCTACTATAATCCATTTATAAGTCAAAAGATAAGATTACAAAATGCAGTTGATTTATTGACTTTTAAACTTGAACTAACGATTTGTTTTTTGGATTTTAGGGCCTCACCCTGAAACCAGGAACTGATGCCTACGACAGCTGGCTGGAGGCTCCCATTCCCATTTATCTGAGCTTCTACATGTTTAATTGGACGAATCCCGAAGAGATTCGCAATCCCAATGTCAAACCCAATTTTGTGGAGATGGGCCCGTACACATTTCTGGAGAAGCACAAGAAGGAAAACTACACCTTCTATGATAATGCCACAGTGGCCTACTATGAGAGACGCACGTGGTTCTTCGATCCGGAGCGATCCAATGGCACATTAGATGACATGGTGACGGCCGCCCATGCCATTACCGCCACCGTGGCAGATGAGATGCGACACCAGCGGAAAATTGTTAAGAAGATCATCAACTTTATGCTGAACACCGAGGGAGGTGAGCTCTATGTTACTAAGCCTGTGGGAGAGTGGATCTTCACAGGCTACCAGGACGATCTTACGGACTTCCTGAATCTGTTCAACACCTCCGCGATTGATATTCCCTATACGCGTTTCGGCTGGCTGGCGGATCGGAATGAATCGTTGACCTACGACGGTCTGTTCACCATCCACACGGGCACCGATGACATCTCCAACTTGGGCCGACTGACCCACTGGAATGGCAAGCCGGAAACTGGATTCTACGATATGCCCTGCGGCGTCGTCAACGGCACCACTGGCGACGTCTTCCCACCCAAGATGAACGTCAACGAAGAGATCACCATCTTTGCCACCGATGCCTGCCGGTTCATGAACCTGAAACCCCAGGGAACGTTTGAAAATCATGGACTGACAGCCACCAAGTGGGTGGGTACAGACGAGACCCTGGACTCGGGTGAGAACTTCCCCAACCAGAAGTGCTTCTGTGATCCAGAGAGGTTCGGCGACGAGTGTCCCAAAACCGGAGTGGTGGAGTGCAAGGCGTGTCGTGATAAGGCGCCCATTTACTCCTCATTCCCGCACTTCTATTTGGCGGATCAGACGTACATCGATGCAGTGGAGGGCATGAAACCGGAGAAGGAGAAACATGAATTCTTCCTCGCCGTGGAGCCATTTACGGGTGTGCCTGTTCAGGTGCATGGTCGCATCCAGATAAACATGATGATTGAGCCAGATGATGATTATGAGTGAGTTGCATTGAATTGAAGTACCTCTAAGGCTTCTATTTAATGATATTTTGGTTTTAATTTCAGCATCTATCGCGGCGTGCCAAAGGTATTGATGCCCATGTTTTGGTTCGATCAGTATGCGGAGCTCTCCTCCGAACTGGCCTCCAAAGCCAAGGTGAGCTTGAGACCTCAAATATAGTTAATCTTTTATTAAAATATCTCCCTCCTTTCAGTTGGCCATCAACCTGTCCAGCTATGGAGTCATCTTTGGCTACTCCATGGTGGGCTTTGCCAGTATTTTCATCATCACCGGCGTTGTACTGACGCTAACCAAGAAGTGGGTGTGTGAGCCCCAGGAGGATGAACAAATGATAAACACCATCGACTAGGTGGATCATTGTTATGAGTAGTACTTTTTTTTTAAGTAAGCATAGCCAAAGTGCCAGGACACGAGTTAACCTTCCTAGTTCAATCGGATAGTCGTCGCGTTATATAATATGTATTTGCGTCTTGTGATAGCCAAACAAAAAAAAAACCCCCTAATCTTAATCCCACAAAACGAAAGAAACTATTGATAGTCTAATGTACGTGCAATACTAACCGGAATCCACTTACCATATAACCATATTTCCTACGAGATTATAATTATATACATTTTTGTGTACTTTTCAATTTTCATTTTATTTTTCAAAGATAATTTTTACACAACTCAAGGACTTTTTACTTATCGTATACGATTTGCTTTTTTCTTTTTTAATATAAATGCATTAATTCAATGTTACAATGTTTTTTGTTTTGTAAATGAATAAATTAAAGAGTAAAGTATATATGTACGTGTATATATAATATATATATCTGTTTATTTATATATATTTGTGTATATGTAAGATATATGGCAAAAAATTTAACATTTTCTCAAAGATCACATTCCTCAATTTAGCCATAGACTTTTAGTCGAGAAAAATCTACGCAAATATTTGTGACATCCATAAAAAAAAAACTCGAAATTATTTTTGCACGCACACTCACATAATTGTTGTTGCTTTTTGCGGGGGAAGGGAAAAAAGGGGTTAATTAAAAATCATCGAACAAATAAAAAACAAAAGTGGATAAAAAAAAAGAATTGCAAATCTTTCTCTCGCTTATCTCTACGGTGGGGGGGGGGAGTATGGGAATATAATTTTAATAATTTTTTTTATTTTTTAAGGGGCGGGCAAGTCTAGGCACTCTTGAAATTCTTTAGTTCCCTTCGACCAGCAAGCTATATCGGGTAGAAAATTATGGTTTTCAAAACAATAACCGTTTCCCAACCGATACGTTTGCCGGCCCGATTCGTTGTGTGTTTGAGTGTGTTTTTGGAGGGGCAATGTTGCGTACTTTCTACAAACAAAATTTGCATAGTAAGTTATTTTTTTTTTTAGTTTTTGTTTGCTTTTGATGACTAAAATAAAGTTGTAAAAATAGCGTGTAAGTTTAAATAAAAAAATCAATCACAGTTGTTTTGGGCGGAAGTAGTTAGTTCATTGTTTTTTGTCGTTGCCGTTAAGTATTCGCATTTTTTGGCCTATAAATTACTAGGCCTAAACTAGGTTCTTCTCATCTTGCAGCTAAAGACTACATATATGTATAAAGTTCTATGATTTCTAGTTTTGTCTATTAAGTAGTGGTCGTATTTTATACTTGAGTATTGTTGCTTCCCGTTTTTGTTCTACTCGTCGTCCTTTGAAACGTCCTGCTTCTCAGTTCTCTCTAGGTTGGCTCGTGTCGTGTTACCTGTTACCTGTTACCAATTCCCTTAAGTGACTAGACTGGGTTCTGATTAATTTAATTCATTTTCTGTTCTGTATTGAGGTGTTTTGTATAAGTTCTTGTTTTTCTGTAAACTGTCCTTTCTGGCTGTTCTGCAAAGAGTCCTGTCCCCCCACTAGCGAATGACTTTCTAACTTTCCCAAACACTGTGATCGAAATCTCATTTGTTTTTTCTTACAACTTTAGCGATCTATGCAAATATTTGTGAGAACGCCAACAAAACTCATCACAAAACACAATCAGGGGGCACATCGAACAGCTATCGAACTAGAGAGAAGAGTGTCCATCGTCCATTTTACATTTTCCACTTTCCACTTCCGTTTCCGGTTTTCTTAGCGATTTATCAACCGGTCTTGTGCTGCTGTTGCTGCTTCATCATGACCGCCGGTTCCATCACATAGTTGTTGGCCTCGGCCAGCTGTTGGACCGGCAGTGGGGGCAGCTTGTCCTGCGGATGCCGGTGACTCACTGTGGTGGATCCTTTGCGGGACTTGCTGAGGGTGCCATTGCCGGGCGAGCTGTTGTTACTAGTTGTGGTGGCCTGACTGGGCTGGGATGGTGAGCTTGAACTGGCCAGTGGCATGGGCATCTCCTGACCTGTCTTTGGGTTCACCATGGTCTGTTTCAGCAGGGATCGATCGTTGCAGAGCGCTGAGATGAGGGGCAGGTCTAGGTGCTTGCTCTTCTCGCGCAGCAGGGCAATATCCAGAGCCTGGGCCTGGGCATGAGCCTGGGCCTGTGACCCGGCGGCGGCCATCGAGGCCTGTAGCTGGGCCAGGATGCTGTTGCTTCCGCGGCTCAGTCCGAGTCCCATGTCTGGCCTGGGGCGCTCACCCGCCCACTGGGCACCACTGGAGGTCTTGATCAGCGGCGAGTTGGCGTTGTGGGGATTCAAGGTGGGCGGTTTTCGAGGCGGCAGGAGGCAGGTGGTGCTAGGACTCGGCTTCGAAGGAACTGAAAGCAATAAGATCAAGGATTAGTTGGGGCATCATATTTTTTTTAAGGACATCTTACTTGGTGGGGGCTTTTCACTGGGCGCCGGCATGGGCGGCTTCTTGAGTCGCCTGTTGACGTACGGGGGTGGTGGCGGGGGCGGTAGGCGTCTCCCCTTGGGCAGCGAATCGAGCGAATTCAGAATATTGTCGTCTGATCGCGATCGTGCAAACATCGAGGAGGAGGAATTACCGGAAGGTGCTCCGGAAGCTGCCGCCGCCGATGCTGCCGCCGCCAGAGCCGCTGGATGGAGCGGCGGCGGTGGAGGTGGCTCGTACGAGGAGCAGAGACTGGCCATGGAGGGCGAGTAGAGGGGGGAATAGCCAGCGGCATGTCCTGGCAACTGGACATACGTATCCGATAGATTCTGGGTGGAGGCGTACCGCGAATGCGTGGACAGGGCCAGTGGGAGGTATGGGGTGCTCCGGTAAATCGCCGGCGACACCTGCATGGCCAGATACGGATGGTGGGGCGGCGGTGGAGCCGCCTGGGCCATGGCTGCCAGTAGGGAACCCTGCTTGGCATCCATATACTCCTGTTGGCTGACTGCCGGATCTTGGATGGGGTAGATGACATAGTCCACATCGCTGAACAGTTGCTGCTGGTACAGCTCCAGCTGCTTCCGGGCCAGCTCGCGGCCGTACAGATGCCCCGCCAAGTGTGGATGATTCGATGGCGGAGGGGGCGGCGGTTGGCGCGGCAAACTGGGCGGTGGCGGGGGCAGGAACTGCCTGGGCTTGATCACCGGCAGCAGGACGCACGACTGGTGGGTCTGATGGTGCAACGAAGCCGTACTCTTGTGCAGTCCGTAAGGAACAATGGGTATGCCGATGGCAGCGGATCCGGAATGTCTGTGATGGGCTGGCGGCACATGGTGGTGCGCGTGGTGGTGCAACGAGGCCTGGGAGCCGCCAGCGTAGTTGGAGTTGTGCAGGGACTGCTGGCTCAACTGGTGACTGCAGACGGAGCCGCTGGAGGAGGCCGCCGAGGAGCAGTGGTGAGGTGCCGCATAACTCGGCTTGGCTCCGTCCGGAATCAGGCTGGTGTGCGCCTTCAGTATACTAATCTGTGGCCGGGTTGTAATGAACCTGGCGGTCACCTCCTCGGACTTCAGGGAACTCATTGATCCGGCAGCACTGGGCGCCGGATTGGCCGACGAGCTCACGGATATCAGGGAGGTGGGCCTGGGCTTGCTGGAACTGGGATACGGGGGAGGATCCCGTCGACGTAGTGCGGGAACTGCCGGTGGAGGAACTGGAAGTACTGGAAGTGCCGGAGCAGGAGCACTAACCTCTGGCTTTGGAATCGCCACAGCTATGGACTTGGGCACCACCGGCTTGGCTATCGGCGGACCACACAAGCCCGTCTTCTCGTGCCGGGCTGTGTACGGCGGCGGTGGTGCTGGTGGCAGTTCCTGGTGCTCCTCCTTCTCCGGCTCCAGGGTCACATAGTCGCAGTCCGAGTGCAGGCTGCTGGACACCGTCTTCCGGCTCGGATAAGTGCCGCGACCCACTATCAGATTGGTCAGCTCATCGGCGGAAAGCAAGGAGTGCTTGTTGTCCGTGGGGTCACTGCCATCGCCCCGGAAGGAGCTTCCCGTGCTGATGTTCGAATCGGAACGCAGTCGAAACTCGGCCCTCTGCTTCTTTCCATCCCCATTGCCATCCGGGTGCTGTACATGACTATCCTCCAGTTTGGAGGGCTGGAACATTCCGTAGTGGGAGCTCTTCTCCGACTCCGCCATCTCCGAAGATTGTCCGGTTAGATCGCTGCTGTGCATGGTGTACACTCCGGATGTTTCGGTGGGCGGAGCACCATGTGCCAGTGTATACACTCCCGATACTCCCGAAACACTTTCAGTTTCCTCTCTGAAGTCCTCAGGATTCGTTTCACTCAGCGCGGAGTTCTGGGCGGTGTGACTGAAGCCCAGCTCCAGGCTGGAGGAGGTGGAGTGCACGGGCACGGGTGCGGTGGATCCACCAGCACCTGTACTGGCCGGTGAGGTGACCACCACTGTGCTGCAGGTGGAGGAGCACTGCGAGCCGATGTTGTGCTGCGAACTGGGTGAGTCTGTGGTGGTTGTTGAGGAGTCGTTGGCGTTTCCTGATCCTCCCAACGCGGTGCTACCTCCTCCTCCCCCGATGGAGCTTCTCTGGACTGTTATAGAGTTGCTCAGGGAGCTGTTGGCATTGTTAACCTCCGCTGGCCTCACGCTCAAAGCCGCCAGTTGCTCCTCCAGGTCCTTAAGCGACATCTGACCCACACTGGAGGTCTGCCGACTGACACTAGGCCTGTCCAGGAGATGGGCCAAGGCCAAGCTCTCCGTCGAGGGTGCGGCCAGTGGAGCAGGTGGAGTATTGATCATGATCTCCAGCTCATCTTCGGAGTGAACCCGGTCACTGACGATTCCGGAGGTGGTGTTGGAACTGGTGCTCGAGATGACAGAGATGCGCTGCTCGTTCTTGGACTTGTACGGCAGCAGAAGGCTCCGGGAACAGGCGTAGCTGGCATGTAGTCTCTGGGACTCTGCCGCCTCCTCCTCCTCCCGCTTAGACACCTCCTTGAGCCGGGCTGCCAGCTTCATGCTCCACTGGTGAGTGTCCTTGCAGAGGGTCAGCAGGAGCTTGTTCTTCTCGTCGGAAGCCGCGTAGAGGGTGATCCTGCTCTCTCCGCTTCGGATCTCGAACTTTTTCCGCTCAAACGACAGTTTCGTAATATTTGGCCAAAGGAAAGTGGTGGGTTCGGTGGCAGAGGATGTGGAAGTGGTGCCGCTAGGGTCCCCGCCCAGGATCTTGATACCTTTCGCATAGACCACGAACCAGGCACTGCCGGAGCCCGGTTCGCTTTTGGCCAGCCTCATCCTGTAGGTGTGGGCGTTGATGGTTTCGTGGAGACTGCAGGCCTGCTGGATGTACAACAGTTCCGCCATTGAGGTGGCCATACCCAGATGTTCCCGGTGGCAGGCCCTCATCGCACTCCGCGCCCACGGCGTGTGCAGTCCACCCGGCAGATAGTCCTCGATCCGGAAGTAGTCAGCTCCGTTCGGCGGCAATGTCGGCGGAGGTGGTGCCGTCGCATCCCGTTTCGATGTGGATGCCACATAGGTGGATAATCTAAGCATCCGCTCGTTGGCACGCTTACTGATCTTGGGCAGCGTTGTGGTGGAACTCAGTCCGCCGCCTCCGCCCGACGATGAAGCCTCTTCGCCCGAATCGTCCTTGCCACCAGGCGGGGCATCGCCCAGATCCGCTTGCAGGGCCAAGCCGGCCAGGAAGACCAGGGCCTGCTCGGCCTGCTCCTTGGGCAGGTCGCGCTGCAGGATGTTGTGGCGCAGCTGCAGGTAGTAGTTGTGGCGGGACGTCTCATCTTTCAGCATGAACGGACTCTCGATGTAGAACTGCACACGGAAGTGTAGCTCCAGGAGGGGTCGTCCATTGGCGTCCAGGCCCTATGAATTAGTCATTAATTAGTAAGGGATCTAGGACGTTAAGGGCTATGTTTAAGGACTCGAGACTCACGTGGGTGTGGGAGGAACGCCAACTCTTCGGGCCGTATTTGGAGAGCTTGCTCTCGGGATCTGCGAACATGTACTCGCCATCTGGAATTAAAATATATAGAAATTAATAATTAAATTTAAAAAATTAAAAACCTTAATCTTAAACTTCCGCAAAAAAATAATAAGCCCTTTCATTCATAAAAAATGTAATAAAAAGCCTAAAACCTTAACTATATTTTCTGGTTTCTTCGTATATCGGTTGTCAGGTTGAATTCCATCTTCTGACGAATTTCCGGTTGCGATTTTTTTTAAGGGAACTCTTTTTTTGGCGCGCAGCCGCCAAGGTCGCTAATCAAAATTTTAAATGAACTTTCGGCTAAATGCGAGATGGTTTCCTCTTCCTTGCGTCCTCCGCCCCAAGCGCCTGGGCCTCCGAATGCGAGAACCAGGCTCAAATCGGATCAGGGCTCAGAGCAGACTTGTGTCAGTTTGTCAGGCAATAAACAAGCAACCCATTGACATCGACAAGAGTCCAAGAGTTGGAGTCAGGCTGTCAGTGGCCCGTTGCCAGTTGGGAGATGTACCAGTGCCAGTTTTTAGAGATCCCCATCTCTCTGGCCCGATGAAGGGCCCAAGGGCATGTCGAGATGCTCGAGAAGGCAGCGGAAAAAACAACAACGAAATCAACACACACTTCATCGAACGAACGAAAAATTTGAATTCCTGCATACGAAATGAAGAGCAGCAAGATGAAAAATAATAATTATGAAAAAACAAAAAAAAAATCAAGAGGAGGGGCAGCAGCAGCAACATCAGCAGCATCCACAACAGCAACATGAAGCATCAACAGCAACAGCAGCAGCAACAATATCATAATAATCATCGGCGGCCGAATAAGTGCCTATCAATGACGACGTCGTGGACTTGGAGCTGGAGCTCAAGCTGGAGTGGAAGTGGCAACAAGTGGTGGCACTGGTGTCCAACTACACTTGGAGAAAGAAAATAATAAAAATTCTAAAATATCAAAGACAGTCTAGCTCTATTCCAGCTATGCTTTTGGAAGATTTTTGAAAAGATTTTAATTTTGAATTTTTTACATATTTTTCTCAGTGTCGAGACATAGTCAGGGCGAGAGCAAGTATTGCATACCAAGCCCAAAACGCAGCGTCGAAAAAAAAAACGCTGAAGAGAAAGAGTAGAAAAAAAACAGGTAGAAAGACAGGTAAGCAGCAGCAGCAACAGCCACATTGGTAAAAAGAGGCAGCTGAAACCCAAGTCGTTCAGCTCTTCGAACTCCGAAACTCTGAAACTCAAAAGCGATTTCTTTTCGCATTCAAATTTCACTCCAGGATGGAATGTGTTCTTCAATTCAGGATGGAATCCCACTGCTCCTCCTCCTCCTCCTTCTCCATCTTTCTGGTCTTTAGGTTCTAAGAGCAGGTGTGAAGGCCAAAAAAAAAAGAAAAAAAATAAAGAGTTGGAGTTGGAGAAGTTTGGAGGAAAAGGTAGCCCAGCCAGCCACACTGATGGCTGATGGATCCTCACGCAATCGTTGCGTTCCATTGCATCCATCTCTCCCCCGCCACCGTTCTCGATCCCAGAGGCAGAAACCTAATAATTAACATATTTTCCATCGCATTCCTCAGCGCTCACAATTAACACGCACGCACACACAAGGGGACGAGGGCAGGGGCAGGGACAGGGGCAGCAAAATAAATCTTCAATTTGAAACACATGCAACACAAATTACAGCCTCAAACCAGAGTCAGAGGCAGAGGCAGAGTCAGAGCAGGCAAAGGCTCATCAAGCCGAGGAATTCCATCCCGAACTTGGAGGTAAATGGAGGTGATCTCCACGAAAGGGGGCGGGGTGCCTGAGCGTTGGGTTAGGAATTGAGGGGGTGGGGCACGGCAGGGCAGGGCAGCGCCAGGTCGGGCCGGTATAGGCAGGAGGGTCTATACAGATGGAGTTGGAGAAAGACAGAGTCAGAGACAGCTGCGCCCAATGTCATGGCCTGGCATTCTTCAGATTCAGATTTATTTTCCAAAAGGTTTCAGTTCGAGTTTGAGTGGACATAATAACATAAAAAAAATGAAAAATCAACAATATATGCCAAGAAGAACGAATAAGGCAGTACCCTGGATATAGCAGAGATATAACTCTAAAGATTCTATAACTATAAGATATAACTAGGAAAGAAATTCAAAGATTTACAGAAATTTATAGTTTGAAGAGATGGTATTCGGTAGAATAGTTGATACAAAATTATAAAAGAATTTTAATAAAATGGAAATAGTACGTAATAAAATTAGGATCTATAATTTATAGTTTAATAATGATTAATACATAATTTTAAACGATATTTTATCAACAAAAAACGTTGAAAAACCAAAACAGAAAAACAAAAACTAAGCAAATAAGTAACCCCAAGAAAAGTACCTCCAATAAACTAAAAAAAAAAAACTAGTCCCACTCTGATTACAGGGTATCATCAGAAAAATACAGCCTTAAATAAAAGTGTGTTTGTGTGTGTATCGAAACAGGCTGAAGGAAAAAGAGAACCAAAGAAAAAAAAACATAAAACCAAAAGAATTTTAATTTCCGATGTTATCAGATGCACGCAGCCCGAAGAGGAGAATCCGCAGCTGAAAAGAATAGAGGGCATGGGAGGTGGAGCAGGGGCCAGTGGCATGGGACAGGGGCTGGAGCTGGGGATGACGGTTGCAAGGCCGAGTGTCCAACTTCGAGGAGACCAAAGATTGAAGACGAACCAGCACCAACGCCATATAATAATGATTATGAGCCATTAACATTAAATGGAAAAGAAAATGCTGGTCTACAGATTACAGCTACAAAGGGGGCGGGGCCATTCCAGAAGAGAGATGGCAGAAGGCAGTCCAGCAGAGTGGCAGTGGGGGGTGAACTGGGAACCGAAAAGGTTGATTCCTTCACATCGGCATGGAATGCGGCAAAGGAATGCCAACAATGCGACAGCCTCGAAATAACACCAAAACGAATGGAGATGGAGATGGAGATGAAGGAGTTGCTGGAGGATGTCTTGACCACTGGCGGGATGACAATGTTGCCAAATTGCCAACGGGCCAAAGTGCCACTTAAAGTGCATCTTGGATGTTTTGGCCAAGGAGCCAAGCTGCTGTCAGCCTTCTTGGCTCTGAAATTTGCATAAAGATGAAATTTATTGACGCTGCCCGGCCATAAAATTGAAATTCATTTTCAGTCCCATCAGCGAACCCAGACGGGACATCATTTTGGTCGCCTTTTTTGTTTCTTTTTCCTTTTTTTCTTCCTTTTTTTTAGGTTATAAGGGCCAAGCCAAAAATCAAAAGACTCAAGAAACGAACTTGAAGCAGAGCAGACAAAGGGTGTTGGGGAATATTTGAATCTTTTAACAAACACATTATAAGTTGGTTTTTTGCACATTATTTTGTTTGTTTTTTAATAATAATACTTTTGAAAATAAATAAGATTACTATAATTTGGGTATAATTTTAATTTTTATTCAGGAATTTTTTTTTTTAATTTTTTTTCTTTTTTTTGACCAAAAAAAAAATGTGGCGTGAAATGCTGGCCAAGAGAATGCGGGAATCCAAGAACCGGGGACAGACCAGAAACCAGGCAACAGCAACCGCATGCCACTCATGCAACACAGACACACGCACACACTTGCAACACCAACTGACATTGGCTGGAATCCTTGGTCAGAAAAAAAATCAAAAAAAAAAAAAAAAAAAACCAAAACACACATACAGAGCCAGAATGCAAACTGCCAATTTCATAGTTGAGCCAACAGAAGAATCCTCTGAAGCTTCTTCTCCGCCTCTTCATATGCTTCTTCTTCCGCCTCTTCTTCTGCTTGTTCTTCTTGTACGAGGCGAGGACGTTGGCATGCCCAACCCAAGCCCCAAGCTTCTCTCCTCTTGGAAAGCCCCTCAATCCCTTGCCCCCTGATTCAGTTAATGCCACGGCAACTCCAGCAACTTAAAGCTCCAGCAGCGATTCCAGCTTCAAACTGCATACCAAATTCTTTTGCTGAAGATGTTGAGGCAACTTCCCCCCTTTACACTTCGCCGTGGGGATGTGCAACCCGCTCCCCCTCCCTGCCATCTGCACCAGCCTTCCTGTGGTTCCTCGGCTGCTCCCTTGACTGCCACGAAATTGATGCCAACCAGATTCGAAAATTTACGTGTTGTATTCTTGGGCAATTGCTCTAACATCGTATGGGAAATTTTTAAGAGTAACTAGGACTATTTATGTATTTTAAAAATTTTATAAAAATGAATTTTTAAATATTAGTTTTTTGTATTTAAATATTGAGTTTATAGATTCCCCGAGAATAATATCTATAAATACATAAGTTTTCTAATTATTTTAAAGTTGTTAAAACCTTATTATTCCTTATTATTTTTTTGTTAAAAATAGAGTTATATTTTTTAAAAAAGAAAATATTTTAGCCAAACTCAAATAAAGTGCACTTAAAATTCGTTTTTCTTTCAAACGTGAATTTCTTGCTCCTTTCTCGTTTGGACCTCCTCTATCCAACATTTGTGTGTATTTGTGGGCCTTTGGAGAACACACATACACACACTTATATACATATATATTCTCCTCTGCAAGTTTCAGTTCAGGCTTCTCCAACTCCATCCTCAAAACTCCCAACTTCCCAACTCCAAACTCCAGCCATCCTCCTTGGCTGTCGTTCGATTCGTTTGTGTTAATGCAACGCGCGACGGCTACCTGAATTACTGAACACGCGTCTTGTGTCTTCTACCCTGCCCCTTGGCCCCTTGCCCCCTGCCAGTTGCCTCATTCCTCCATTCCTGAACCTCAAACTCCATCTCCGGCACAGAGAGTTTTCCTGGACCCCTCGGAGTATTCCTGAAATTGTTTGTTCGCCATGAAGGCAGGCGACGCGTTCCCTGGTCTTTTTGTTCGTTTTATGTGCCATTTTTTTTGTGTGTTGGTATTTTTATGTGTTTTGGCAGAATGGAGGATCGTGGATCGAGAATGGAGCATGGAGGATGGAGGCTGATGCCTCTTCTACTTCTGATGCTTCTGCTGCTGCTGATGATGATGATGAGCAGCTTTTAGAGAAGACTGGTTTATGTTTATTAGTTGTATTTTTCATGCCTTATCGCAGGCATTTGGCTACTCTGCAACTCGGACACATTTTTTCTATATTTTTTTTTTTTTTTGGGAAGAAAGCTTAAGTTGTAAACTCACCTATGAGCACAGCCAGACCAAAGAGTTCGGTGTCCAGCATCCCTTGCGTGGCAAAGTGTAGACATGTCTGCGTGTAGACCTCTCGAACTCGACTCTTGGCATCGACTAGGAAGTACAATGTTTTCGGCTGCTGTTGCCCCAGAAGTCTGTAATTCGATACAATCGATTATATAACTAGATATTTTTTTTGAGGGGAAAGCAAATTACTAACCTCAGGGCCAGGAATCGCGAGCCTGGTGACAGTTGCTCGGCGGAGGACGCGCATACTTCCAATGGCGCGCTGACGGTACAAAATGCTCGCATGCTGCATCATTTTCCGTATACAGCGCGCGCGTTCGAAATGCGTTGCTAATATTAAAGAAAAATATTTAAAAATATATATATAAATTTATGTAAATTTATAAAATAAATTTGACTGGAAAGTAAGCAGTGTTTCATTAAAAAAGTAATCTTAAGGGGGGACATCTGAGTAACAGGCCAAAAAAAAACGGTTTTTCTCGAATTTTTTTTGACCAAATCAAAACAGCTAATCGAAAATTTGTAAATGGGGTTTTATTATATTATATTTAAACTACACAAAAAAATTTTTTTTTAATAAATCGAAAACAAAATGGCGGCCCTGCAGCCCTTATTCGAAGGCCCTATTTTTTTAAAGGGGGTCCATGGCCGAACACCTAACGTCCTTAATTTTTGATCTAGAACAAAAAATCAAGTTTGGTTAGTTTCTTTATCTCAACGGCTATCGACACACGTAGGATTTTTTCGATATATTGATTTTTTCCAAAATGGCAAGTGATTGAACAAAATTTTCCATTTTCACTAACAAAAAACGTCACAAAATTGTTGATAAAAAAAAAAGTAAGCCAAATAAAAAAAAAATCCTACGTGTGTCGATAGACATAGGTATTCTGAGTATACTGTCAAAATTTTAGATCGATAGGTTAAGAGTTGTTCGAGTTAGGTGTTCGGCCAACCCAAAAAAAGTGGTTTCGAGAAAAACGCGTTTAAAGTTTTTAGTACTGTGGGATATACCTGTGAAGCATCGCCGCAGAATGGAAAATTTCGACACTTAGACACTTTTGCCGGACTCTATCTTTTGATATGTCATTTTTAAAACCCTAAAAAATTTTTCAAGCGAAAAAAAAAATTTTCGATTTTTTCAAAATTCTACTCAGATGTCCCCCCTTAAGGAGAAGAAGCTATTCTAAGTAATTTCTGAAGAAGGAATATCCATATTTTAATTGAATGGTCAAGATTGGGAATATAATTTATATAAAAATAACTCTTGAAACCTCTTTTAAAGTTAAAGTTCATGTCTTAAAAATTTAAAAGAAAAAATAAATGGTTTTCAGAGGATCTACAGAACTATCTTTTTATAGAAATCTTGAAGGGCTGAAGTTAAACATTTCGTGTAATTGATACCAAAATTTCATTCGTTTTTTTATGTCTATGATCCGAATTTTTAGTGCCAGCCAGCTCCCAAGATGAGCTATATTATACCAAACTGAAATTTCATCGCATTCCGGTAATAAATTCATCGCAGTGCAGGCGTCACATTTCTAACCGCATTTCTGGCTCATCAAATGGCGATAAGGCTGCCGCAAGATCGAATCGGTTAGGCACCATTCTTTCGAAGCATCACCAAATTTATGCCGCTGGAGCCGCCCCAGACGATGGCGCCCGCCTCTTTTGGGCTCAACCGCCGACCGACGACCATCGAACATCGACCACCGAACAATTTCACCAATCAATAACGAAAGACTTAGGCGACAAACTTGATTAGCGGCACCAGGCAACTCGGAGAGTTGGAGATTCCAAAGCACATAGTGCGTGCGTGGCAGCCAAACTCCCGCTTCCCCATATTAGACCTCCCCCCCCCCCACACCCCACAATGCGTTGCGCATAAAATTATTAAAATTCAGTTAAAGAAAGTTCCAAAAGTGAGCGAGAAAGAGAGGCCAAAACTGGCCTCGTGATGAAAGAAAAGTATTTTATGCATAAATTAAAATCAAATCGAATCAAATCAACTTTTCTGTTTTTTTTTTGTATAGAGCGCCGGCAGCGACGTCGACGGAGGCAGCAGCGGCGACTATGGTTTCTACCAACTCTACCCAACCCGGTGGAGACGCATAAATTTCAATATTGGCGCATTTTCTGTGTCTAATAAATTTCAACGTCCAATAAATTTATTCAGAGTCAAGTCGAGACTCGGACTCAAGAGGCTCTAAAGAAAGAGAGAAAGAGGTAGGGAGCCGGGGAGCTGGGATACAGACAGAGACAGAGGCTGGCAGAACCGCCCAGACTTATAAATATATGATCGGTCTGATCCAAGGTATGCCCCCAGACCCCTTCCTGTTCATTTCCAACTCCAAAAGTGATCATCAATCAAAGCTCGCATTTGACATAAATTAGAAACCAAAAAAAATAAAGAATATCTGGGAACATAAAAAAACAAAACTCTTCCCCCAGCTCCCTCAATCTTATAAGCCTCTCAAAAAAAAAAAAAATGGTAGAAATAGAAATAGGTTTTGAAAAGCAATTATATCTAAGCCGATTTCCATGAGCACCTTGGACCAGACCTGGCTAAGGTAATCTGGAGAACAGGCTCAGTGCCAGATGATTACGAAACGAGAATTGGAATTCCTCAGGGCTCTAATGTGCTGTGATTGACTTATTACTCTGGAATTTATATACACATTGTTGGACTTGTTTTTGTTTTTGGTTCGATATTTTGAAAGATAACCTTTTTTTTATTGGAGGCTGGGACTCATTAAAATAATGTTAACCTGGCCTCCATCAAATCATTCACCTCATAAATCACACTCTATTAGAACTGTAATTAGTATCCTTAACAAGTCATCATAGATAAATAAACTTCCACACCGGTAGTCTAATTTAAAGTTAATAATATGCCTAGTTGAGTAATAAAAGGAAACCATAATTGGTCTATAACTAGAGGCTTTCTACCCATTTAGATAACAATAAAAGGAAGCTTATTAACCATCCAAGATTGCCTTTAAGATGGATAGCGAGAATTTCCAAGGAAACTATCTAAATAATCAATATGCCTGATTTCTCCGGAAGCAGAAACAGTGCAGCATAATTGTAAAAATTTGCAATGAAAGCCTGCTTGGAATTTCACACAATGCCAGGTTATTATGCAATATTTATACCAAATGCCAAAAAGAAAATAAAATAAATAAAATATATTGCCGAATGTCTGGCAGCTGCGATCACGATTTTTTTTGGTTTGTTTGCGTTTTTATTTTAAAATTCATATCTGGTTGGACGACGGGGATGAGTCAACGGAAGCAGAAAGCATTTTTAATTTGAAATGCAAACAAATTAAAGGCATTTAACAATTTCAATCATAGCAAATTATCCGCATTCCATTGGCTAATGAGAGCGGGAAGCGAAGAAAGCCGTGGCGACGCTAATTATCAAAGTAAACACCAAGGAGGGGGTAGCTGGCGGCGATAGGCTGGCAATTAAAAATAATAAAAAAATACAACTACAACGAAAAAAAAAAATAAAAAGAAGTGAGCCAAGTGGAGCTGAGCGGGGCACCCAAGAGACACGCTAATCAGCAATTAGCAAATGGCAATAAATATTTTGTTTATGATAAAGCGGGGCAAGTGCCTGAGTGGGTCGGTTTCTGTGCGAGAGTTTGTTTTTTGTTTGGAATGCAGACTACGGCTGCGGAAACAAAATACGGAGACGTTGAAATAGTTCAAGAAAGGGGGCTGCCGGTGGAGGCAATAAAATCCCACGGGCTCTGCCGCGACTAAAACTCAATTAAATGGCGCAAGCGCCAGCAGCGGAATGCTTTTCTGCTAGCTAAGCGAATGCCAGACAAGGGTTGGAACGGGGGGAAGGGGAGGTTGGGGCCGGAGAACTAAAACAGAAACAGAGACATTGCGCATACGCCACGTTGTGCTGCGACAGCATTTCAAAAAGGCAAGCACTGAGAAAAGTAGATACAGGGACGGAAATAGGACTAGGGGGTCAGGGGGACTAAGGGAGAATATAATTATATATATTAGATTGTATTTATTTGTATTTTTTTACATTTAATTTTAAGCTTCTATTCGTAAATTCTATGCATGTCAAAGCCAGTTCTTGTCTTAAAATTTTAACAAATTAATAAAATTTAATTTCAAATCCGAAAACCCCCAATCAATACCCCCCTTTTCCCCAGTGCACCTCTTTTAGTTGCAATCCACCACCCCACTGCCGCCTGCGCCCCTGCCAACTGCACATGCCAATGCACTGAGCTCATTCGGGGCGTGTGTTTGTCAACCGAGTTCCAACAATCGCCAAAGTCGAACGATCGATCGATCGATTCGTTGATCGACGGAGTGCAAAAAGGGGCAACCAGGGGCCAAGGGGCCACTGGAAGTGGTACCTAGTGTCGACTATGATAAAAACAAAAAAATACTAAAAAAAAACGCTTCAATCGCATGTGCAGACCGCATTGAAATGCTGAACGAATCAGAAACGGAATCAGAAATTGAAAATATCCATATGGATTTCAGCGCGGAATGCGAGTGCGCATTGATCGGAGCGGAGGTCCAATAAACAAGGCAACGTAAACGATCGTAAAATCGAGCAGCTTGGAATGCGAATCGAATTGAATTGAATCAATAGACTTTATGGGAATCTCAATCCAAGAATTCATAAGGATGATCACAAGTCGTGGGATAAAGTTGATTATGTAATGCGGAAGAGTGATAATCAATAAAGTTTTTTTTTAATTTTATATAAGTGACTAACTTACTAATCTCTTAGAATCTTAAACAAAATAAATTCAAACCTGAACATTCAACTCTAAAAATAGTCACCTAAAAACCAGAGCCCACTTGAGGTAGCCCTGATTTTGTAGCCTCTCCAAGAGAAACCCCCCTTGAACAACCCACACACAAAAAAAACCGATAGATTCTTTGCCATTCTTCTATGGTTGTAAGTCCCGGGTTAAGTGGCTCTCAAACTGGATTCACATTCTATGGAAAGTGTTTCGAGTGCTCTCGGATTCCGATTCTCAGACTCACAACTAATGAATGGCGATCGAATCGACGAGCCCCGATCGGCGAGCGGTAACTTTTGACGTGGAATATTTCGCTCATGAGTTGCCAGCCTGACTGACTGACTGGCTGGCCGGCTTGAAAAACCGGAGCTTATTCTATCCAAGTGTACGTGAGCCTGGCCTTTTAATTACCAATAGAGAACTCTAGCTGAACAACAAGTTAACCTGGCTAACTGGCGTCAATGGGACGGCAAGTAATAGTTTAGTTTAGATCGCAGCTTTAGTTAGATGGCATTTTCACACGCTGGCCTGGCCAACAGGGCGGATGCGCGTCATTGGGAACGGGCAACGTATGTATGTAGATAGCTAGTGCCATTTTACAATTCCGAATTCCGAGGTCCAAATACCGAAGCTCCGAATTCGTAAAGGGGTGTGGCTGCTGTCACGCAAATGAGTTTAACCTTAGCCGATTTCCGAAATGCACACAGAGAAAATATGCCAACGAAGGTGATAAAAAAATATGAGTTATGAAAGTCTGGCATATAAGGTTGTAGTTTAAGAACTCAAAAGGAGAAGAACCTTTAAAATTTTAAGATGATATAAACTTTAATCTTTGAAAGCAATTATGAAACTTAAATTATTCCTAAAAATACCTAACAAATTATATAAAAAATCGTTTAATCCATAAAACATTTAAATGCTATTAAAATAATCACCATATTTTTGGTAATTTTTTCCCCTGTGTGGCATTTATGATACCGCTCGCTTATGAGCCATCCAAACGGCAAATAACTTGTCGTTTTCTTGCCAAATGCCAAAAAAAGACAAAAAATCATAACAATAAAAAAAAAACTTAAAAAAAAATAAATAAAAGGAGAAAACAGAAATGCGACGACGATGAAGAGGCGACAGAGAAACAAAACCAAACAGCGGCAAATGCCGAATTCCGAATTCCGAAATTCCACTTGTTGTGCCAGTTATGGCCAAACAATTTGGTGTCTTTGAAAATGCGCGAAATGTCCCCAGTCCCCAGTCCCCAGCCCCCAACCCCCTACCGATCTTGTCTCTGGCTCGTAATGACTGTAAAAATAATGATTATAACGATGATGAGCCACTGACAGGGCGGAGTGGGCCAAGAAACACCAAAATGAAGAAAAGAAAACAGCTAACACACGTTGTCGCTACAGTTGGCTGGCTCTGGCTTTGGCTTTGGCTTTGGCACACTACCGCACCACAACACCACTTTGCACCACAATCGCACCACACCTAACTGGGTGGAGGTGGAAGCGGCTGGTGGAGGAGGCGATGGCCTCCGCAATGAGAGCAGCAGGCAGCCACAAAAAAAAAAAGCCACAGACAACGTGTGCCGCATGCCAAATCGAAGGCGTGCGAAACTATGCCCGCCGATATACCCTAGAAAATTTTACTGGGACTCCACCAGGGTATTATGGATCAATGGATGGACAAGCCACAAAATAGGGTTATTCCCTTATATCTATAATACTTTTAATATCTTGGTTTTTCATCCTAAATATAGTCTTTCTTCTAAATATTCCATTTGAATAAAATCTTTAATCTTAATGTTGTTTATAGTTTCAAGTAAAAAACAATGCTCTTTTTAAAAACCTGTTATCATAACTTATTATTCAATAGTTTTCAACTTGACAGAGATGAAGCCCCCCAAAATATCAAACATCCATTATTTATTGTCTATTTTGAAGTTTATAGCCGGCACTTTTTATGCAAAAAAATAAAATAAAGCAAAATTAAGATGTTAGATTATTGATTCATTGTTGATCTTAAATTTTAAAAAGCAATAAATAAATGCTACTAAAGAAGCAATTTTAGAGAGCAAGATGGAAGACTTTCCATAAGATAAGTTCTTTAGTTTTCAGCTCTTCCCACACAGTCTGGTTTTTTTTTTAATTAAATAATTTATTTATTTAGGCTTTTGAGAATTCGCCTAAAGGTCATCTATAAGTCTAGCCACCGCCATTAAGCCGGCAAACCAAGCCAAGCCATGGCATATCTCTATCTCAACCTCGACTTGACTCGTCGACTCGATGATTGTCATTCAAAATTTGTTTAATTTGTTGAACATTTTAATTGCTTGAATTGTTCAAAACAACAGCCATGCAGACACTTATGTCTGTGTACATACGCATATTGACTGCGTGCAGGAATTTCGGTTTACGAAATTATTATTTTAAGTATTTATTATCATTGCTTGTCGCTGTTGTCAGTTTCAATGCAAAGCCAGCTATCCAGCCCAGAGCCTGAGGTCAAGTAGTTGGGGGATATAAGTAGAGATGTCAGTATTTAATCGAAAACCACAAAAGACTACAACTGCAAAGCAGATATCCACATACTATGTCAGATACATGTGTGTACACACCCGGCTAGAGATATAGATACGTCTGGGGAGAGATACAGTTACCCATTATAACCATATAGCGCCTGGTGGCAAAATCGTTTAACGATTAGCGATTAACGCTAACCGCTTAATAGCGTGTGTTTCCACTCATTTGTTTATCTTCCGCAGCTGATTTACATTCGAGATGTCTGATTTTCAGTCGTGATTTCTTTTCATTTGTCGTTACTTTATTTTTAGTTACTCCGATTTCGATGTCGATTCCAATTGCTGTTTTTTTGTTCCAATTACAGATTGAAATCGCACTCTCGGGGAAAAAAAACAATGAGCCCATCGCACCACCCACCCATTACCGCCATCCCAATGGGGTCTTCAATTTCCACTTAATTGTTCCGCTGTCGATCGTTTAAGAACCATGTGCCTGCCTCCCAGTCCCCCCGATTATTGGCCTGTTTGATAAGGGGGGCACTTAACCAACTAGAACCCATCGACGATCTAACCCGGTTGGGAATTAGAAATTCAATGAAGTGGGTAGGTAGTGCCGGCGAAATGAAACTCTAGGCCAAAAAGTGGATCAGAATTTAAGGAAACTATACTAAAACCCTAGTTTAAATGACAGCCAAATAATCTATATTAGTAACTATAATGATTCGTTTATAAGAAAGTTAAAGCAACAAACTTTTTTATAGAATTTTAGAGATAGTACTATCTTTTGGGGAAACATTTGCGGTAACTGAGATACTATTTTTAGCTTGGTAAAACAAAAATAGGGCTGGTATTTTAATATATAATGTATATTACATTATTTTTATAGATCCCTAGAGTCTAGATCTAAAATTTTACTAAGAACTTCAGTTATTATTCAAACTTTTTAACCAAACCCCTCAAAAATTTAGCTACCACTCTTAGTAGAGTATAATATTTGACTGATATTTGATATTCTATGGGCAGAAATGGGTTAATTGCAAAATTCGCTGGATTTATAACTCAAAAAAATAAGTAAAAACTTAAAAAAAACAAGAAAACCTCAAAACAATCCATTGGACGTTGGCGATTTTATGGTTCTGAGAGATAAGAAATTCGCTGGCATTTGTTTTGTTTGCTTTATGAGTCCCTCATTTTCGGGGAGTCATTAAAATTCCGGGGAAATGGGGCCCATAAGGGTCTTTAGATGGCTCTCTTTCTATCTTGATATCGTTATCCTTTTCTCAACTTACCTTAGGCAGCCGCTGCAGTGATCGGCATTGTTGCTGGTTTTTGTATCTGATGGGTCGCGTAATCCAAAAATAGAGTTTTTTTATTAATTTTCACTGAATTTTTTGTTGTAAATTTCTTTTGCTTGCTTTGAACACTTTTTTTTTAACAAATCTATCGATTGGCTATCGAAAAAATGCCTAACAGTAAAATTTCGTTTCGTTTGCTGCGGTTTTAATTTTTTTTTTTTTGTATCTTATTTTTTGTGTTGTTGTTGTTGATGTTGTATCTGCTGCTGGTTGGTTTTGTTGTTGTCTGACCTCTTGACGACGCACGCCGCGACTGCGCAGTCAGCAGCAGCGAACAGGCCGCATTCCAGCGCTGTTGCCGAAGAGCGGAGTGGGGTGGGGGTGGTGGTGGAGAGCACACTACGTTTTAATCAAAATTCACTCATACCAACGCTGGGTGTGTGTGTGTGTGTGTGTGTGTGAGTTCGATCTCTCTGCTTTACACTCTCTCTGGCGCTCTCTCTCGATCGCTCTCCGTGTGTTGGCTACGGTTGTTTGTTGTTGCGCGAAAGAATGCCGTTTGCTGGGTTAGTTGTTGTTGTTGCTGGCGTTGTTGTTTTCTTCAGATGTTGTTGTAGTTGCCGTGGCTAGTTGTTGTTGCCATCCGCGGGTAGCTCGAATTTTTTTTTATTTTATTTTATTTTTTTTGACCAGCGCCAACTTTTTGGAGTTGGTTTTTGAGTTGATTTTTAGTGGATTTCAGGCGACTGGGACTTGATTTCTGGCTGGGAAAGGCTATTCGCAGTCAATTGCAGTTATTTTTCGCGGTATCGGGACACGTTTTCCCCTTGAGAACGATGAACGATCATTCATACACTACTGGCTACACCGTTGACACACACCAACAAAAATCACTCCACATTCTTTTTGCACACTCGTTTTTTTATTTTCGTTATATATATATTTTTTTTTTAATATATTTTCTTTTCCCTTTTTTATAAATTTGAAGAAACACACTGGACAGATTGTAATCTGAATCTTAATCTGCATGTGAATCTGAATACACGAATCCAAATCCAAAAATCGAAACGCGCTGGTTTTTTTTGTGTGTGAAAACCGAACTCCACTCTTGAGCTACAGTATCTACATATGTGTGCGCCCTGCAGCTGTATCTGTATCCGTATCTGCAGCAACGGCCGAGTGTGCTTGGGCTTGGAGCAGCACGGTTCGAAATCGGAATCGGAATGAATCCGCTCGGATCGGAGTTGGATCCCAAACGCGACTCTACCACAAAATGAGCGTTCCGAGCTTCTGTATCTTTATCTGTATCCGTATCTACAGTCCCATAACAGACTGTTAACAGCGAGCTCAGTGCCTGTTAGGTGCTCATTCGGCCAGTTCTCTCTCACTGTTGACGATCATTTTCGTTCAATTGACGACGATCGTTAAAAGTATCTCCAAATAATTATGCTCTCTTTTCGGCTCTCATTTTACACTGGAAATAAAAGTGGGTAGTAGTGATTTATCCCTACTATTTTAATAAATTTAATTTAATAATTTAAACTAAATGAGATACATTTTAATCCTTAAGTGGCTGCCAGTGTGTATGTGTGTGTGTGTGTATCTCCCACTGAGATTTGAGATTGGAATGCGTGATAGTGGCAGAGAGCAACAGAGCCGGAGAGCGGGTTCAGGCCAGGTTGGAATGGCTGCAAAAAATTTGGCTACGTTAAAGAAAACAAAACACAACAACAAAAACAAAAAACTAAAACAGAAAAAAAATAAATAAAATAAAACACTCGCACACAGTTATAGTTACATCTACAGCCCCTATCTCTCAAATAAAAAATAAATAAACCCAAAAGAAAAGAAAAACATTCGCCAGGCACACAAATCCAACAGATACAACAACAACAACAACAACAGCGCCACGAAAAATGTAAATAGCAATAAAAGAAAAACAAACTTCAAAGGAGAATCCCAGTAGCTGACTGCTGTGTCAGGGTGTGAGTGTCTTTCCCATATGTGTCTGTGTGTGTGTCTGTGTGTGTGGAATTCCAATGGCTTATCTCGGGAGAAGATGAAGGCGAATGGAGTGGGTAAGAGTGGGGGGGTGGGGGAGTCACTGGAATGTGGAAACCTTCAAGAAACCTTCAGAATTTAAGGAGTCTGATATTTGAAAGGATTCAAAGGATATATCTCCCTTAAGAGGTTATCTAGGGAGTATTATTTTAAACAAAAGTCATAAAACCAAAGATAGTTATTAGTTATCATAGTTATTATTTTAATTTTTATAAAAAATATACATAGTAATAGAGTAATAGAGTTTAAGGATCAAGGATCAAGAAAGTATTTTATTAAATATTACAAAGTATTATAATTTGATAAGATAAGATCCTGTAGGATTTGGTTTCCAATCCCCAAAGGACATCAAACACCTTAAAGATCTAAAAAAATAAACTTAAATTTTATATAAATCCAAAAAAAAAGTAAAATCTAGTAAAGGATCTAAGGTTTTTTTTTCTACAATCTTAAAATAAACTCCCTGGAAATTATCCAAAAGATAAAGTTAAGAAATGTGAAAGGGTTAGGGGGCTGATGGCGGCTTGGGGAGGGGCAGAAGGAGAAGAACCCCAGGGGCAGACTGCTGGCCATTTGTATGAGCTGTTCTGCCACCGCCTCTGCCTCTGCCTCTGCCTCTGCTTCTGCCGCTGCCTCTGCCTCTGCCGCGACCGGCGTCCTCTGCTGCTACGATATCGTCACTTGGGCGCATTCCTCAGCATAATATGAGCTTGATTTGCTGGATTCTTCTTGCCTCGCTCACTCTCCCCAAGCCACGCTTGAAATTTTTTTTTTTTCGTGGGTTTTGTTTTCCTTGTTTCTCTCCTTCTTCTCCTTGGGCACCCCAAGCCCTCTCTCTCTCCCCCTCCCCAACACTGCCATCGCCTAGAAGCTGCTGCTGCTACAAATATGCGGCATACACACGCCCCACCTCGGCCATGGGGGAAGGGGGTGGTGGCAACGCGAATGGGGAATAGCCAGGAGAGTCTTCAACAAAAGTCGGAGAGTCGAGAACCCAGCACCGAGAATCGAGAATCAAGAGAGGTCGTCTTGGCCATGGTCATAACTTGTTGGGAGTGTGGAGGGGAGGAGAGACCCCAGAGGAGAGAGCTGGGGTGGGGGAAGACAAGGAGAAGGCGGTGGAGAAGCAGGTGATAGATGGACAAAGGGAAGCGAGGAGGCAGGTCCAACAGGAGAGGCGGGGTAGCGATGGGAACTCTCTGCCATGGCCTTTGATTTTTTTAAGTGTATTTTCTTAAGTTTCGAGATCTAATTAATAGTAGTTATTATTAAAATTAAAAATATTGTTAATTTTATTTTTTAAATAATTTAAGCTCATATTTTTTATAAATGTTCACTCCCTAATAAAATAAAGACACTGTGGAAGGATATATGGAAAATATAACTATGATATGGGTATAGAATTCTTCTAAATGATTTAAAATATCACCTTATTTTAAACATATAATTTTTAATATTTTTTTTAAATTTAAACAACAGTGTTTTGGACCCTAAGTTTCTACCCTAAGTAGACTCTATATTACACCATTATTATCCAATAATCTCCACTATTATCTGATTTAGAGTGTCAATATCTTCGACTTCTTAGATTAAAGGCTTTTCATTTTTTGTTTTTTTTTTTATTTTTTTTATTTTTATATAGTATATTTTTGTTCTTGGTGTTCGTTATTCTTGCGTCTTTGGTCGATCGCTGGTTCTCTAAGACCGGTTGTTGTTGCTGGTGTTTCTGTAAGCTGCCTTTTGGGCGCTACGTTCTTGGCCAACGCTGGTATGCACACGCACACACACTGCCGCACAGATATATCTGTATCTGTATCTGTGAGATAGGTTTGGAGCCTGGTCGAGGCCGAAGTTTCGACCGCGTACCACAAAAGAGCATAAACAAAAATACAAAAAATAAAAAAGAATCAAGAAGAATTTTTTATGCAATTCCTTGAAGTCGATTTCAGTCTCCAGTCTCCGGGTCCAGAAACTCTTTTGCGGAATTGGCGCGCAATTCTGGAGGTTTTTTTCTTCAATTTTTTTTTTAAGCAAAGTGATCTTGCCTTCAGGAGCAGCTGCCATTGATCCTCTTTCTATTCAAAATTCCTAAGGTTTTTTTTTAAAGGTTTTTATTGTTTATTTTTTTTTTGTTTTTGGCCAAAGCCAAAAGTCGTTGGTGATGATGATATGGCGAGTAGGCCTGGGGAATATATATTGAATAAGTCGGCATATGACGCGGGTCCCCAGTTTCTGTTGTTGTTGTTGTTGTTGTTGGTTGGGGGGCTATTGCTATTGTTGGGGTGTTTTTTTCGTTACGCTTCATTGCTGTCGATCGGACGTCGATATCGCTGATTGTCGCATACTTTCTACCCTTTTCACTAATTGGGGAATTCCAACTATTTCAAACTATTTAAATGTTAAAACTCTGGGCTCGTTAGTTATTCCCTATTCTAATCGTTTATATAATTAATTGAAGTATTCTATGTAGCTTTAAAGAAGTATTTAAATTTATTTACTAATTCTATTTTAAGACTAGAATTAATTGAATTATTTGTAGTTGCCTGATATTTTTGATAAGACAGACCTGGTAATTATTATTATTTTACTAAGATTAGTATATTTGCAATTTCCAGGAAATACTTGCAAGCTTTTAGCTTTATCTTAAGTCCCTAATATAACCATTTCCCGGGAAAGAACCTTATCGATTCAATCCACTGATCAAGAGTATAGGAACCTTCGGTTGAGTCGTCAATAAAGTTTCCGTTTCAATTCGTTTGCTCGATTCGATTCGCTTTGTTTTTTGTTCTTTTTTTTTTTTTATTATGGCCAAAAATATTTGTGCTGGCCACGATAATGTTAATGGAGTAGCCCCCCCGCAGCCCTCTGCGTTGGCCGCCCCCTTTTCTCCGCTCCGAGTCGTGTTCTGCCCATCATCATTCCTTCTGTCGAGGTATTTTTATTACTTTTGTTACACTAACTTACTTCCTATTCGGATCGTTGGCATTTAAGCTTCACTTTTGTTGTTTTTATTTTTTTTATTGTCTCTGAATGTAAATAAAAAAACAGAGAGGGGGAGTAGTAGAATGTGATGGGCGGGGGTGGGTCACCTGAATGGGCGTCATTCTACAGTTGATTGGCTTTGCTCGGACCGAGAGTTCGAATACTTCAACTCTGACCTTTGACTGGCAGGGTATAGAGTTGGTTTTTTATGGAGAATGTGGAATGTTAAGCACTAAAAAAAAATGTAGATATTTTTGTTATAAACTTAGAAGTAAGAAATGTTAGATTCTAGCTTGTTTTAAATCTTTAATTTTATATACCCACATATACCCTTTTAATTAATCAGTTATTTTATTTATTACCTTTTTTTCTTGCTGTGTATTATGGGTCCCCAAGTTATAGTCAGATCCAATCGAATCTCATAGCAGAGTCTAATCTGCCTACCCTACTTTCACTCCATTTCCAGTCTGCATCGAGACTCTGTGGCATCTCATTCGATTCGATTCAATTTATTCGAACCGAACTCGGGTCTCTCTTTCTCCTTCTCCAACTCTCTGTCTATCTCTCTCTTAGTTTTAGATGGGTTTTAGTGGTAAAGGGGGCGGGGGATAGGGGAGTTGGACTAAACTGCAATGAAATTTCAGGCTGCCAATCGATTTTGCGGCTGCTGTAGCTTGGGATTTGCCTTTTTTGGGCCTTGGAATGTTGCATGTTGCTGCTGTGTTGCTGTTGCTGTTGTTGCTGCTGTTCCTTGCTAAGCCCCCGAGCAACATCAACAGCAGTAGCAGCAACAATGTGTTCTAAATAAATTCCAGTGAAATGAAATTCAGGGACCCAAAGAGGAGAAGGGAGCCAAAGAGGAGACGCAGATGTATGTATCTTTCAGATACAAATTCTGTACGCTGCGCACAACGTGATTGCAATCTTTAGCATCGTCATCATCATCATCATCATCATCAGCAGCAACAACAACCGCCGAGGCAGCAACATTTAAACAAAATTTAATGTTTTTTTTAAAGGAAATACTTGATGTTTTTATTTAAATGTTATAAAAAATAAAGATTTTACAAATCAGATTTGGGAATAATACTCTTTTTAATAGTTACTGTTCTAAAATGGTAACTATTTTATGTATCCCTGACTGGATACCCTGTAAATACCAACTGGCAGCAAGAAGAAGCGCAACACGAGGCACGAGATTCGAGGTTGCAAGGCCCCCAAGGCCCCAAAAAAAAAGGAAGACGCAGCAGAGGACGCCAACGTCAGCGTCGCGCGTGCGCAACTCGAACGGATGTTACACGGCCAGAAATTAGGATAAATCTGAGCAATAAAAAATTTTAATTAAAAGACAAATAACATTATGAAAGCTATTAGTTATAGATTAATACCATATAATACCATATTCCTATTAATTAGATTAATTTTTTGTCAGTGCATTTATTTTGCCTGTTATGTTGAGTTACCTGTTTTGGTCTTTCTGCTGCCTTTCTTCCTTTGGTGGAGATTTCTTCTCTCGGCTTGTGGAGTCAGGAAGTGGGGCGAGACCGGGGAATGTATGGCCGCAAAAAATCGAAAAAATCAACCAAGGTCTGTACAGTAGCAGCTCGGTTTGGCTGCTCTTTTTTTTATGCTTTTAATGAGCTTTTATATGGGCTGCAGGATCGATTTTAAAAAAGGTATTCCGGGCGAGGAGCGAAGGACGGCAGCCCGGCAGCCCGGCATCCCGAAGCAACCAAGCAAATGCATCTCCATGTCAGCATCCAAAGAAGACGATGATGATGCTTTTTGCTTTTGCGGTCTACCCACAACAACAATACTAGGCGGCTACACCCCCTTCTCCCAGGATTCTAAAGCCATCAATGGATTGTTGGGCAAAAGTATTTGGTTCCCATGGGTTAAGATTGCAAACTGTGAAGGGCGGGAGGGGTAATGATTATTATGGTAACACAGTTTTGGGCAAAAATAGAAACAACCACAGGGAAAAAAACACTTGTCAAAACAAAAGCCCGAGGGATATGAGAGCCAAAAGACAGTATAGAGTTACTGACACAACAAATATGGTTTTCAGATAATTATTTAATATTTTAAGATGCGGTATTTATAGAATTTTATTTTAAAAGGAATATTTAAAGACAAAAATATATAATACCTACCTTGCTTTCTAAAAATATCTGCAAATGGAATTTCTTTTTAATTTGTAACCACATTTCGCTGAATTCCCTAGCCGAAGAATTTTTGTAAGGCACTTTCAGATCCAGATCTTAAAAGGGGTCTAGAAGAAGGGGTGCTGGGGTATCTGGAGTATCTGGAGCCCCGGCGAAATACCTTTCCCGTCGCGACAGCTCACGGCTCAATCTGCAGCTGTCAGGTGTGGCCGGCTAATTGAGAGTCGCGTTACGAGATCATCTTGACACTTTGGATTTGGTTGGGGGCAACTGCCTGCCAACCAGCAACCGGCAACCAGCAACATGGCAACATGGCAACAAGTTGAAAGCCACCACCTGCCGCCGGACGAGGCAAATCCGCTGGTGATTAACTAATCACAAGGAAAAGTGACTGTTAAAGGGGAAGGGGACATGTCTGTGATAAAAAAAAAAAAAATTACTAAAAGCCGTCAAGTACTCGCAAATGCTGACGCATTCTGGCCCAAAGGCTGATAAGAAGCAACAAAGCGAATTCAATGCCAAAAAAAGAAAACGAAACTCTCCTCGAAACGGAAACGAGCAAATACAAGATACAAGATAAAGATACAGCTAGATGTGTAGATACAGATATTCACATTCTGATGAAAATATAGTAAAGTTTGTAGGATATATTTGGTATCTATTTATCCTTAAAAACTACCAACTTTTAATCCATTTTGTTAATTATTTAAAATATCAACAAAACATACAATAACTTGGCCTTACCGTGTGCTAATGCCATTTTATGACTTCAATTTGCATTTTTTTTCAAATGTTGTTTTCAATAAGCATATCTATAATTCATGGAATTAATGGTTTTTCCGACTGTGTGAACTGTAAGTTGTATAATTTGGTGTTTTTTTGGCACAACTGGAATTCGACTGAAAGAGGCCTCTCTCGAGTGTTATTCAAATTTCGATTAGCATCTTGGCCCCCGGACCGTGGACCTGTAGACCGTAGACCGTGGGAGCTGTAATCCCCGGCTAAATAGAACTGTGGCCTCAGCCCCCCAGTCCTCCACCTTCCCCTCTGGTGCTCCACTCACTTCTAGGCTGATAAATATTTGGCTTTTGCATGCCAGCCCGATGAGTTCAACGACGTAGATCTTGTTGTTGCGGCCGCTCATTTAATTTTCAAACATTTATCAACAAATATTTGGCGCTTATCATTTGTTCAAGTCAAACAACAGAGAGCCAGTGGGGGGGTGGACCCGACCTGGGGACACTCCCAACCAGAAGCTGCAAGATGATCATCTGCAACCACTGCTTTAGTGGGTAAAGGTGTAGGAGGAGGAGTAGAAGCCGCCGCATCAGCAGATTCGCTGACCCAAACACCTGACAAATGGCCAAATATGCAAATGTAGACTCCCCGAGTTGGATTTTTGCACAACATTTGCCAAAGCTGAGTCTGCTAATTAAAAAAAAATAAAAGGTTTCCAGTCTGGGGTCTCTAAGGTATTTTGCAACACGCCCACATGAATCATGAATTAGTTTCTAGACAGAAAACGAGAGTCATTCTTTAAGTACCTGCCCCTCGAGTGCCAGCAATTCCTCACTCGACACTCAAATTTGATTAACATGCCCAAAAATCAACAAATGCTGAATTATTGTATTAGCTCCAACCCTAAAAAATTCCATATCACTCCTGACCAAATAAACATAAGAATTCGTATTTTTATGAGGGTTTTTAAATCATTTTTTTATGCCAAATAACAAGAATTATAGCTTATAGTGCACATCCATGTACTGAAGATTGGTAAGGACCTCCTCAGCCTCTGGCATTACATCCTTGGCGGCATTCAGATACGACTTGGCCCCCAAAATATCTCCATTTTGGGCCGCCAGTACCGCCAGATTGTTCAGAGCAGCTCCATTCTGGGCATCCGAAGTGAGGCAAAGCTGCAGGCATCTTTTGGCCAAGTTAAAGTCCCCAGAGGTCTTGAAGGGAAAATCATTTTTAATATATATTATTTAATATAAAAAAGGAGAACTCTTACCACCGCCACAAAGCTGAGATTATACCAGACATCTGCCCTTTGTTCTGGCTGGGAGGCCGTGGCGAGGGCCCTCTGGAAACAGGGTAGCACCAAGTCGATCTGTCCGCCGTACAAACAGCACAGGGCTATGTTGCAGTAGAGCTCCGGAGAATGGGCACCCAGTGACAGGATACGGCGGTAGTACATGAGAGCCATCTCGGGATTATTGTCGTAGAAGTATCCCACGGCAATGCTGGCCAAGGACTCTATGTTTATCGGCTGCAGCTTGGCCACCAACCTATACAGCTGAAGTCCCTCCTCCTGCTGCTCCATGGCCTGGTGGATCCTGGCCTGTTCCAGGCGGTAGATGACGTCGAAGGGTCGCTGATCTGCCGCCTCGCTAATCAGAACCAAAGCCCTTTCCGGCTGCTTCAATCTTTGGTACAACCTGGAGAGGAGCAAATAAGTGTCCGGATGGGGAAAGCTGGCCAGGGATTGCTGGAGAAACGGTTCCGCCTTGCGGGGATAGTGAAGTGCCAGAAGGCATCGCCCCGTTTGCTGGGGCCACCACCACGATGCAGAGTTCTTGGACTGCCTTTGGACTTCCAGGACGGCCTGGCACAGCGAGTAGGCCTTCTGAACGTCCGCCTCGTGGTAGAAGAGAAACTGGAACAGCGCCTTGACCAGGGTCTCCCTTTCGGCGTAGATTGTTGGATTCAGCCGGGATGCCTGGTACAACTTGGCCGTAGCATCGCCCACATTGAAGGCCGCCGCGGAAATGGCTCTCACCCGGGATGCAGTGCCGCAACGGGAGGCAGGACGTGCGCCTCCCAGCGATGATCCCGGTCGGCTGAGACTGGTGCCTGGGCGAGCCACCGCCGCTGATCCTGGCCTGGAGCTGTTTAGTCTGCCATCACTGGAATGGGCCACTCCGGATCCCCGACTGCGCTGCTGCCTCTGCTGGCTGGTGAGGGGGCGGGGCTGAAAGGCGGTCTTAATGCTGCTGCCAGGACGAGCAGCGGTGGCAATGCGCTCGAACTCCACTTCCTCAATGGCTTGAAACAAAAAGAAAGAAATATAAATCTGTATAAAATATATGTTTCTGTTTTTAACCTTAATTAAAACAAAAAATAAAAAAAAAGATTGGAATACCACAAAAATTTAATTACTACTCCTGGAGGCCATCAACTCACCTTCATCCCCGTTCTCGTCCACCTCCAAGTCGTCCAGGTAGACTCGCTGGGTTAGGGCTCGCATCTTTAATTGCCACACGCCCTCCATCAGCCAAGTGGGCATCATGATGGATGCTCCCGAATCCGCTCCAGCTCCAGCACCACCACCGGCTCCCGATCCTGCTCCAGCTCCAATTCGTGGCCTGGGGCCAATGCGTTGCAAATTGCTACCGAATCTGCTGCGGTTTTCGTGCTCCGCCTGCTGCTGTTGCTGATGGAGCTTCTGCTTCTGGTTCTGCTCCTTTGCCTTTTCCTCCTCCTCCTCGTGGCTGTGCTCCCCCTCTTTGGTGGCAAACAGTTGGACATGGCCATCGTGACCGGCCTGCAGGAGGGCGTTGCACAATTCGGCACATCTCTCGTAGGAACGGCGCCGGTACAGGGACACCGCCCTGAAGTAGTCCAGCTCCAATGTCGCCAGCGTTGTCATCCTTGGACCATTCAAAATTTAATCTTTATTGAAAAATATTATTAATTATTATTTTGCATACTTTAACTTAAAATATAAACATAAATATTTGATGTAACATGCATTTTTTGTGGTTACTTTTTTTCCCCAAGTGCTTTCTGTATCTGTGTCCAATTCAAGTGTCTGAATTCCTTGGCTTGGTTCCTTTTTTTTTGGGTTCTTGTGCTGCTGCGATGGAATTTTAAAACCGGATGCGTGTCATTCCTCTGCCACATGCCCCTGCCCCGTGCCACCCTCGAAAATGCAGAGGCCATCAGGAATGTGGCTGCTGCTTCCTGCGGTTCTTCTCCTTTTGGCTCACCTTTCTTCGGTTTTTTTTTTTTTTTGGTTTCTTCGGTTCCCAGTGCCCAGTATCCCGTACCCAGTTCCCAATTCACAATTCCCAGCTCCCAGTCGCCAGTCACCAGCCACCAGTTCCCAGTTGGCATCTTGTCTTAGTTCTTGGCTCGTCTGCATGCCATCTAATTTTTCTATGCCCATAATTTGTACCTCGCCCTCGCCTACCTCTTCTCCTTGGGACTTAATTTGTGGATTCCTGCGGCAGCGGCACTTTTCTGTCTCGACAACTCGCTGGCAGGTATATTGGAAACCATATGGAAAGGTATGAAAGGGTCTTCGTCTTCCGGTTCGAGGCCTCGATTGCCATGGAGACCGAGCCGGCCCAAACATTAATTGGCTTGTGTATTGCGCCTGTCCGGGAGGGAGTCACCCTGTCGGCCACCCTGTTCGGTTACCTGGAATTCTAAATCTAATTTGAGTTCTAATCATTCATTTTTAATAGTCGTGTGGGTAATATAAGTACCATAACTATCGAGTCAATACAATCTCCCCGGAAGTAACCGAAAATTACAAAGAATACCTTAGCCATGGGAAAAAGTAACTTAAAGAAAAGATAATCCTACACGAATTAGTTAGCGTTTTCTTTAATTATATTAAGTTAGTTAGAAAATAAATTCTACATTTAAATTAATTGCTTTAATTGCTTTAAACCATTTTAAAAAGTCTAAAAAGAAACTCTACAAAGAAATCACAAAAACATAAGCCCCTCCTAAAACTTTAAAAAATTTTCAACTTTAATATCTTTTACAGTGATAAAACCATTTTATTTCAATATTTACTTTAAAATGTATAAACATTTCTTGAAAATAACCATTTATGGCCTTTGAAGCCAATCATAAATAGGATCCAATCCTACTTTGGTCACGGCACTGGCCTCCACAATGGTCACCTGTTGGCGAATCTGCTTCTGCAACTTGGACATCTGCAGCATCAACAGGGCCTCGTTTCTCATCTGACGGTAGGAGTAGTCCATCTTGGCCAGGACCAGCAGGATCTTAACCTTTTGTAACCAAGGCTCGGTGAGTATCGAATAAAATAAAACTCCCGCAGCGGAAATCTGGCAGAGATTGGATGTGTCCACAACGTAAATTAATTTCTTTACATCCTCAAAATACTGTCGCCACAAGGGAGCCATGCTGCCTCCAATTTCCAGGATTTGAATGGATTTTGGCAAGTTTTTGCCTCCATGGGGTATATTGGCGCCCAGTGCGGATCCATCTGCTGGTGGGGGCTTGGGTTTGTCGCTATTGGGGGACTTGGTGGGAAAGTGGATGCGATAAATTCCTGTTCCGATGGTGGGCATGGAGTAACTGGTCTCATCAATAGAATCCGGATCTTGTAGAGCTTTCAGAAGATGAGTTTTTCCGGCTCTTTTAGGGCCCAAACAAATGCAAGAAGTCATTTCCCAATTAAAGTGATTAAATTATTGATAAAATAAGAGTTTCCTTGGAAACAAGAATTTCACATTTTGACTGAGGGAAATGTATATTTTGGTTATTTTTAAAACCTGAAAGAATAATTATTTAAAAGAATAAGATTTACACATTTTAACGTTTTTTAAACACAGTTATATAACAGCTAGAATAACTATTTAATTTATAGAATAATGTAGAATAATTAATAGAAAATGTATTTTCAATATCCAGTCAAGCACTTAATAAAATTAATTATTTCATAAAAACTTTTTATATATAGAATTATATAAAGGAAATAATAGAAAATAGATTCCAAAATATTTTAAAAATTCAAATTTTGGCCATTTCCAACCCTAAAGTTCTAGCGCCATCTAGGGGTTGTGAGCTTGGCCCAACTATCGAACTATCGATATTTTTACGGCCCTATGGTCACATTCATTGCTGTCTCATGCTGTAAACAAATTGGACTCCCTTTTAAATTTAAAAATTTCATACAAAATATGACACCAAAAGAGCCCCGAGACATTGGATTCAACAGACAATTCGCTGTAGAAGTGAACGGAGTTCCTACGGAAATAGTTTTCCATGGCTTTGCCAACAAATGGTTTTTGGTAATCACTCAGCTGGGAAAGATACCCGGCATCTTTAACGTTTCCTTCGATGTAAGAAAGGACGAACGCATCCTTCCGCTTCTCCATGGACCCGTGACCAACCCCGAGCTCCACGTGTCGGTGGGTATAACTATGACCTGCTGCCTTGGCTTGGACACGGACGAGGTTCGCAGCGCTATCCAATTCCTGGTTAACCAGACTGGTCTCAACAAGTGCCCCACGGAATTTGTCATTGGACTCGGTCTCAAGACAATTGATGGACCCAATCTGCGCTCCCTGGCCAAAGTTCTCGACGAAATGGTGTTTTAGTGTAAATGACTTGTTAGAGCGGCTACAGTTAGCCTGGTTGGTCTACGCAATTATCCTGGGCTGGCTTATCTGGGAACTGCTGCTATCTGAAAAATCAGGGAAATAAGAAGATGCAATCGATGTATATATGTTGCTCTAAGAGTGTTGAATAAAGAAAAAGAATCTTAAGACGTTTAAATTCTGTATTTTTAAAATATTTGAATATTTATTGATGCTGATTTAAAGATAGTTTTGGGTTGGAACAGGTAAAGGTATTCCTCTCGAGGATCGGATACAAATTGGCAAAGATATAGCCATCGAGGTGGGTCATATTGGCCTGCCATACATTCTTCCCATTTTTGAAGGGGATCCTCTAGAAAAATTGACAAAAAAGTGAAAAATATTTTGTTGCCAGATTTTGATGCAGAATAATGGAGAATCGATCTACAAATCGTTTAAGGTATTCCTCTCGAGGATCGGATAAAAATTGGCAAAAATATAGCCATCGAGATGGGTCATATTGGCCTGCTATACATTCTCCCATTTTGAAGGGGATCCTCTGAAAATTGACAAAAAGTGAAAATATTTTGTTGCCGATTTTGATGCAGAATAATGGAGAATCGATCTACAAATCGTTTAAGGTATTCTCTCGAGGATCGGATGAAATTGACAAGATATAGCCATCGGGTGGGTCATAGGGGCCTTCCATATATTCTCCCATTTTGAAGGGGATCCTCTAGAAAATTGACAAAAGTGAAAATATTTTCTGCCGATTTTGATGAGTCTTATGGAGAATCGATCTACAAATCGTTTAGGTATTCCTCTCGAGGATCGGATGAAATTGACAAGATATAGCTTTGAGGTGGGTCTATTGGCCTGCCATACATTCTTCCCATTTTTGAAGGGGATCCTCTAGAAAATTGACAAAAAGTGAAAATATTTTGTTCCCAGATTTTGATGCAGAATAATGGGAATCGATCTACAAATCGTTTAGGTATTCCTCTCGAGGATCGGATAAAATTGGCAAATATAGCCATCGAGATGGGTCATATTGGCCTGCTATACATTCTCCCATTTTTGAAGGGGATCCTCTAGAAAAATTGACAAAAAAGTGAAAAAATATTTTGTTGCCAGATTTTGATGCAGAATAATGGAGAATCGATCTACAAATCGTTTAAGGTATTGTTCTCGAGGATCGGATGAAAATTGACAAAGATATAGCTTTCGAGGTGGGTCATATTGGCCTGCCATACATTCTTCCCATTTTTGAAGGGGATCCTCTAGAAAATTGACAAAAGTGAAAATATTTTGTTGCCGATTTTGATGCAGAATAATGGAGAATCGATCTACAAATCGTTTAAGGTATTCCTCTCGAGGATCGGATAAAAATTGGCAAAAATATAGCCATCGAGATGGGTCATATTGGCCTGCTATACATTCTCCCATTTTTGAAGGGGATCCTCTAGAAAAATTGACAAAAGTGAAAAATATTTTGTTGCCGATTTTGATGCAGAATAATGGAGAATCGATCTACAAATCGTTTAAGGTATTCCTCTGAGGATCGGATGAAATTGACAAAGATATAGCTTTCGGGTGGGTCATATTGGCCTGCCATACATTTTCCCATTTTGAAGGGGATCCTCTAGAAAATGTACAAAAGTGAAAATATTTTGTTCCCAGATTTTGATGCAGAATAATGGAGAATCGATCTACAAATCGTTTAGGTATTCCTCTCGAGGATCGTATGAAAATTGGCAGATATAGCTTTGGGTGGGTCTATTGGCCTCCATACATTCTTCCCCATTTTTGAAGGGGATCCTCTAGAAAATGTAAAAAGTGAAAATATTTTGTTCCCGATTTTGATGCAGAATAATGGAGAATCGATCTACAAATCGTTTAGGTATTCCTCTCGAGGATCGGATAAAATTGGCAAAAATATAGCCATCGAGATGGGTCTATTGGCCTGCTATACATTCTCCCATTTTTGAAGGGGATCCTCTAGAAAATTGACAAAAGTGAAAATATTTTGTTGCCATTTTGATGCGATAATGGAGAATCGATCTACAAATCGTTTAGGTATTCCTCTCGAGGATCGGATGAAAATTTACAAAGATATAGCCATGAGGTGGGTCATGGGGCCTTCCATATATTCTCCCATTTTTGAAGGGGATCCTCTAGAAAAATTGACAAAAAAGTGAAAAAATATTTTCTTGCCAGATTTTGATGCAGTCTTATGGAGAATCGATCTACAAATCGTTTAAGGTATTCCTCTCGAGGATCGGATGAAAATTGACAAAGATATAGCTTTCGAGGTGGGTCATATTGGCCTGCCATACATTCTTCCCATTTTTGAAGGGGATCCTCTAGAAAAATTGACAAAAAAGTGAAAAAATATTTTGTTCCCAGATTTTGATGCAGAATAATGGAGAATCGATCTACAAATCGTTTAAGGTATTCCTCTCGAGGATCGGATGAAAATTGACAAAGATATAGCCATCGAGGTGGGTCATAGGGGCCTTCCATATATTCTCCCATTTTTGAAGGGGATCCTCTAGAAAAATTGACAAAAAAGTGAAAAAATATTTTGTTGCCAGATTTTGATGCAGTCTTATGGAGAATCGATCTACAAATCGTTTAAGGTATTCCTCTCGAGGATCGGATGAAAATTGACAAAGATATAGCTTTCGAGGTGGGTCATATTGGCCTGCCATACATTCTTCCCATTTTGAAGGGGATCCTCTAGAAAATTGACAAAAAGTGAAAATATTTTGTTCCCAGATTTTGATGCAGAATAATGGAGAATCGATCTACAAATCGTTTAAGGTATTCCTCTCGAGGATCGGATAAAAATTGGCAAAAATATAGCCATCGAGATGGGTCATATTGGCCTGCTATACATTCTCCCATTTTTGAAGGGGATCCTCTAGAAAAATTGACAAAAAAGTGAAAAAATATTTTGTTGCCAGATTTTGATGCAGAATAATGGAGAATCGATCTACAAATCGTTTAAGGTATTCCTCTCGAGGATCGGATGAAAATTGACAAAGATATAGCTTTCGAGGTGGGTCATATTGGCCTGCCATACATTCTTCCCATTTTTGAAGGGGATCCTCTAGAAAAATGTACAAAAAAGTGAAAAAATATTTTGTTCCCAGATTTTGATGCAGAATAATGGAGAATCGATCTACAAATCGTTTAAGGTATTCCTCTCGAGGATCGTATGAAAATTGGCAAAGATATAGCTTTCGAGGTGGGTCATATTGGCCTCCCATACATTCTTCCCCATTTTTGAAGGGGATCCTCTAGAAAAATGTACAAAAAAGTGAAAAAATATTTTGTTCCCAGATTTTGATGCAGAATAATGGAGAATCGATCTACAAATCGTTTAAGGTATTCCTCTCGAGGATCGTATGAAAATTGGCAAAGATATAGCCATCGAGGTGGGTTATTTTGGCCTTCCATACATTCTTCCCATTTTTGAAGGGGATCCTCTAGAAAAATGTACAAAAAAGTGAAAAAATATTTTGTTGCCAGATTTTGATGCAGAATAATGGATAATCGATCTACAAATCGTTTAAGGTATTCCTCTCGAGGATCGTATGAAAATTGGCAAAGATATAGCTTTCGAGGTGGGTCATATTGGCCTACCATGTCTTCTATATAACGACATTTTTAAGATCCACAAGATCTACATGATCAGCCCTATCAGAAAGCCATTGTAACAAAAGGTAATACTTGTTTCTACCTTATAAGAATGTTGTGAAAGTTTTGCTAAATGTGTCTTTTTCAGAAATCTACTATATACTATACCTAGTATACTCTATAGTCTATTCATTTGTTGATGAATGCCAACAAAAATTGCGGTTTATTCTATACACTACATGTAAGTAGATTGGTTAGGGGATATGTATAACATATATATCAAGTCCAAAAATTGTCTTTTGATTGATTACAATATTTCCTTTCTATTGGAAAGAATACTAAATAATGTTCATTTCTTTTCTATACAATATTCAGCACTTTCTGGTCATATTTAAAAAGGGGAACTGCAGCAAGGTACTGAGATACTCCTTATATAGGAAGTCTTAACTGAGAATTACAATATTATTTTCTCATTTTTGTAATATTTCTCATTTACCGCCACGCACTACGAAACATGTCTTCACCCAAAATTTGCATACATTTCACATGTAACACCATTACGATAAATGAAACTATATCACTTTTGTGTTTTTTTTTTTTTTAGCAAACGTTTTCTATATTTTCACGATTTAGGTACATTAAAACGTGTACACAGATCGGAAAAGTGGAAAACACGTCCACCGAGATGATTAGAGCACAAACACAACAGATGTCAGGTCGGTATGCGGGTTCTTGGACATCCTTCGGAGACTGCTTAATCGAACAGACCGAAGCCCATGTCATCATCAGACTGGTCGGATTCCTCCTCCTTCTTCTTCTCTTCCTTCTTGGCCTCGGCAGCGGGAGCAGCACCACCAGCAGCGGCAGCAGGGGCAGCTCCAGCAGCGGGGGCGGCACCAACGCCGGATCCGATGCTTGTGATCAGGTCCTTGACGTTGATTCCCTCCAGGGCCTTGGCGAACAGACCAGGCCAGTAGGGCTCCACCTCGACGTTGGCGGCCTTCAGCAGGGTGTTGATTTTCTCACCCTAAAATTGTGGGGAAACAAAAAATATTATTATTATTTGGCACTACTCATTTAAATCCATTCGCGGTTCACTCAAATCATTCAAAATGATGGAGCATCAGCCTCCGATTTTTGAAGATTAGGCTTTCCGACAAAAGTCACAGAAGTGAAGGACTTACAGTGACGGCGACATCATCGTCGACCAGGATGAGGGAGGCGTAGACGCAGGCGAGCTCGGCTTTGGTAGACATGTCGAAGTGCTGTGACTAATTAATTATTGTGCAAGTTGCCAAAAATTAATTTGTTTTTAAAAAATGGCCTTAGCTCGGGCGAGAACAAGCACGCTGGTCGAAATCTTAAACCGGAAAGAGCTGTATGAGGTTGCCAGACAGCAGTTATCGCAACCGGTGTTATCGATAACTAATTAAATATCGATTGTTTTTTTATCATCTCTGAAATTTATCTAAAATTGTGGCCAGAGAGGTTGACAATATTTTATTGCCCACGGTCACACTGTTAAAAGGTAAACATTACAGAGCGCGCGAAAATGTCCGACCACGAAGATATGGAAATCAAGCAGGAAAATGAGACTATTGAGGATATCGACGAAAAGGAACACAAACCAGAGGTGGAGGACGCCGCGGAGACCAACAAAATCAACTCTCTAAAGTCCCTGGGACCATTTATTGCCGCAAAGGAAAACAGCAAAAACACAATCTATCTCAGCGATGTTCCGGCTGTATGCAAGGATAAACCCTGCATGTTGGGTGTTGACGAAGCGGGACGTGGTCCTGTCCTAGGGCCAATGGTCTATGGAATCGCTTATTGTCCGCTGGAGAGCAAGAAAGCCCTAGAAGATCTCGGCTGTGCTGATTCCAAGCAGTTGACCGAGGAAAAGCGCGATATCATATTCAACGATATAAACACAAAGGAATACGCCACCAGCTGTATTGGCTGGGCCGTTGAGATTATTTCACCAAACACCATCAGCACCAGCATGTACCGGCGTTCCAAGTGCTCCCTCAACGAGGTATCCATGGACTCGGCCATGGGTTTGATCCAGCAGGCAATTGATGCCGGGGTGAATATTGCTGAAGTCTACGTGGACACAGTTGGTCCTCCGGAGAAGTACCAGGAGAAGCTTCTTAAACGTTTTCCCACCTTCAAAATAACAGTGGCAAAGAAAGCCGACTCCACATACCCCATCGTTTCAGCTGCTAGTATTTGCGCCAAAGTCACACGCGATCATGCCTTGAAGGTTTGGAAGTTTCCCGAGGGTTTGGTCATAAAGGACAATGCCTTTGGTAGCGGTTATCCTGGTGATCCGGTTACCAAACGTTTCCTGGCCGAGCACATTGATCTGGTGTTTGGATTCCCTCGATTAGTCCGATTCAGTTGGTCCACGGCGGAGAACGCCTTAGCCGATAAAGCTTTTGACATGGAGTTGGATGAACCGGATACGGAGAAGCCCAAGTATGCCGGAACCAAGCTCACAAAGTTCTTCAAAGGCACGACCAAATCAGGAGAGGTCATTCGAGAAGAGTGCCGCTTTTTCAAGCAACGACATCTCGCAAACGTCATCGATTTTTGATTTTTATAAAATACATTATTAAATATATTTAGAATTGGAGTAATCACAAATAAACAAAAGAAAACTATAAAAAAAAATATGGCACGGGAGGTAGTTTACATAGATTTTGTATACGATAGAGTTTCCAATTCTACTGCCGATCTTTCACAGATCCAGGACAATCACGCTGCCATCCGACGCACTAGCTGCCACTTTTGTGCCTCTGGAGTTCCAACAAACCTCAAATATTTCACCGGTGGCCCTATAGCTGTGCACTAGTTGTCCCGTCTGCGTGTTCCAAATGTAAATGCATTTATCTAAGCCTCCAGTGGCAAGATTCTTTCCGTCCGGACTGAAGGCCACCGAATTCACCGGTTCCGTGTGCTTAGTCAACGTATGGATGCAAGTATCTCGCTCAACGTCCCACAGCCTCACCGTCGAATCAAACGAGGCCGAGGCGAGGATCAGGTTGGTGTTGGGGTTATTAGATCCCGGTCCCGTAGGCGACCATTTTATCGTGTAGACTTCCTTGGAACACGAGGCCAGCAGCTGGCCCTGAGGACACCACTCGATGGCGTTCACCTCGTCAATGTGACCCTTGAACGTTCTAATCGGTTCGTTTCTTCCCAGCTGGCATATGTGGATCTGATTATCACCCCCGCAGGAAGCGAAAGTCTGATTGTCCTGCCAAGCCGCACCCAAGACTGGAGCATTGTGAAATGCAAATTGCTGCAAGCATTGCCCCGTCAAAGCATCCCAAATGATTGTCGTTTTGTCCACACCAGCGGAGAGTAGATAGTTTCCATTCTTGTTCCACTTCAAAACAAAGATTGCACCCCGATGCTGGCCTAGCGTGAAGGTCAGCCGACCGTCCGTCTTCCAGATCCTGGCGTATCCATCACAACTACCCGTAGCGAGAAAAGAACCATCGCACTTTAAGTAAAATGGAAATAATTAGAAACATAATTTGTGATTATTGAAAATGTACATACATTCCAGTCCAGAGAGGTGACATCTTTGTTGCTGGGCACCTCGGCTCCACCCTTTTGGATGCAGTGTCGCAGCACAAGCTGGCTGGTGTTGTCATTTGCGTCGGACATGTCCCAGATTCGGGCAGTGCTGTCTCCCGAGCAACTAGCCAAAAGGTCCCTGCTCGGATTCCAGGCGCATATGAATACCTCACTCTCATGGCCGCGCAGAACTCGGGCCTTGGATTCGGGTATCTCGATACATTCGTCAATCTCCATCGACATAAGGGAGGACACACCTTCTCCGATCCCAGTGGTATAACTGACATCATCTTCCTGGTTATCTGAGAGCGGATTCACCAGCTGAGGTACTGGAATTGGTTCCATATTTTCCTTGGCCTCTCTATTGCCTTTGCTGGGGGGAGTCTAAACTTCTACTTACTAGGGGAGAACCATGAATGACATCACAAGTACGGTGGATTGATCGTTGGTGATAACACTCCACCATTTATCGATAGTTTCTTGGAAATTTACTCTTTCGATTTTCGATTACAGGGGATTTTATATGAACTGATAACATCCGCGTAAAAGTATATAGTACTATCAAAGTTCCTGGTCTAAATCGATCACTTAAGTCTAGGTTATACATTTTAAGCTCTGAAAATGACCGAATATCGGTTAATCCATTACCCAAGTAAAAACTCATTTCGAATTTTCAGCTTTAATGGATCTTGCTGTTGGATTTTGTGTGTTTCGCCATTTTCGTGTTATTTATAATCCTTAGGGTTACGTTCGTTTTACAGACTACTTGGGGATGCAGTTACACTGTTCTGAATGTATGCGTGAATCGGTCCGATCTGATCTGAATCCATACCCTCCATCACTGGCGGACACGGATGGAGGGAGGGTGTAATTCTTAGTAATTTCGGGTTGACATCATCGATCGACACAGTAACAAAATGCATTAAGTTATACTAAACGATTTCTGTATAAAAAAGGGGGGGTATTCTTAAAAACATAGAGCTTACAACTAAGTTTAAAAAGAAGCGAGTCACGTCCCGAAGGTCAGAAGGGAAGCACAACCAAGTTGGGCCCCAAATGAATCCTTGGAACTGCTCATCGGTTATATGACTCAGGACTAAGCGTACGAAAAGGACAGGCGACAAATAAAGTGGATGGGAATCTCGGTAATTGAATCTTATAAAGCTAATTAGAATTTAAAGCAGTTACAAATACAGATTGCAGAGGCGGGATAGCTTAAATAAAAATAATATACGGCCGAGAAACAGAATAGATATAACTTCACGGAAAATTTCCAAAATGTTTCAACTTTTAGGGGAAACCCACCTTTAGAGGAGCGTTTTCCTAAAAGATGAAACTCTGCAGCTGCACTGCCGGAGATCAGAACTTTCGCAGATCCAGGACAAACACGCTGCCATCAGATGCACTAGCTCCCACTTTGGTGCCCTTGGAGTTCCAACAAACCTCAAAGATGCCGCCGGTACCCTTATAGCTGTGCACTAGTTGTCCCGTCTGCGTGCTCCAAATGTGCACGCATTTGTCAAAGCTACCCGAGGCAAGATGCTTTCCGTCCGGACTGAAGGCCACAGAATACACCGGTTCCGTGTGCTTAGTCAACGTATGGATGCAAGTACCTCGCTCAACGTCCCACAGCCTCACCGTCGAGTCAAACGAGGCCGAGGCGAGGATCAGGTTGGTGTTGGGGTTATTAGTTCCCGGTCCCGTAGGCGACCATTTTATCGTGTAAATTTCCTTGGAGTGCGCCTGTAAATCGTGACAGCATCGGTCTCTGTTCATGCTCCAGATTTTTAAGGTCATGTCATCGGAACACGAGGCCAGCAGCTGGCCCTGAGGACACCACTTAATGGCGTTCACCTCGTTCGTGTGGCCCTTAAAGGTTTTAATTGGTTCGTTTATTCCCAGCCGACATACATGGATACGCTGATCAGTACTGCAGGATGCGAAGGCCTGATTGGTCTGCCAATCCACATCCAAGGCCGGAGCATTGTGAAAAGCAAATTGCTGAGTGCATTGTCCGGTAGAAGCGTCCCATATGATCGTCGTTTTGTCCACTCCAGCGGAAAGAATGTAGTTACCACTCTTGTTCCACTTCAAAGCAAAGATTGGACCCTTATGCTGGCCCAGCGTGGAGGCCAGCCGACCGTCCGTCTTCCAGATCCTGGCGTATCCATCATAACTACCCGTTGCGAGCAAAGAACCATCGCACTTTAAGTGAAATGGAAATAATTAGAAACATAATTTATGATTATTGAAAATGTACATACATTCCAGTCCAGAGAGGTGACATCCTTGTTGCTGGGCACCTCGGCTCCACCCTTTTGGATGCAGTGTCGCAGCACAAGCTGGTTGGAGTTGCTATTTGCGTCGGACATGTCCCAGATTCGGGCAGTGCTGTCTCCCGAGCCACTGGCCAAAAGGTCCCTGCTCGGATTCCAGGCGCATATGAACACCTCACTTTCGTGGCCGCGCAACACTCGGGCCTTGGATTCGGGTATCTCGATACTTTCGTCAATCTCCATGGGCACAAGGGGAGTTCCGGTGCCGCCGCTTCCGGTGGAGGATGATATCGTACCACTAGGTGCCGTGTTCTGAGCTGTATTCGAACCAGCTTGTACGTTATTACCCTGCGCCCCAACGCGAATGGTAACAGCCCCTCCGGCCGCTTTCGCTCCTGCTGAATTGCCTCCAGCAGCCGCTGCATCCGGGTTCGAAGTGGACACATTTCCACCTGCGGGTGTTACACCGCTCGAAGGCTGTTCCACGCTACTAGAAGTACTGCTGTTTCCATTTGTCGAAGTGGAGGAGGCTCCATCATCTGCGCTGGTAGAATTGGCGTTACCGGCATTGCCTCCGCTGGAGCTTCCTGGTTCATTTGAGTTTGGCGCCTTTTTTTGTACGGTCCCTGCCGCCGTGGCCGTTGCATCTCCGCCAGCTGTTGCACTGGTGCTATTGCCTCCTCCGCTGGCTGGATTTGCACCGGATCCGTTGTTTCCAGAGTTATTGCTACCCGCATTGGTTCCGGAACTTCCACTAGAATCTACCTCTACGGTTGTCTGATCGGTGGGCGTGCTGGTTCCTGTGGTGCTGCCGGCTCCGGTTTTATTTGCTGCTCCAGTTCCCGGTGCCCCAGTTCCGGGCTCAATTTTAATCTCGGTCTTAGTGTTGCTATTATTCCCTCCGGCAGAAGCTGAGGAGTCCACTGATCCTGGCTTTCCTGGCTCTGTTTTGACAACAGGCTTTAGGGGTTTAACCTCCGGCATCACAGCGTCAATCAGGGAGAGGCCCTCGACTGGCCGCGCCATCTCGCCATCCTCCCCGACGCTCCACTCCACCTCTGTGTATAGTAATCCTTTCTGCAAGATGGTAAGCAGGGCAGCAGGCGGCACCAGAGCTCCATTGATATTACTCTGAGAGATATGGGACTCGATGCCAAACACATAAGCCGAATGCAGGAAGCCTGTGGAAACAGGAAGGACAAAAAGGCTAAAGGGGTGCTCCTCCGGGCGGAATGTAGTTAATTGCAGGGTATACTAACCTGACTCCTGCAGATATCGGTAAACTAGAAAGTTTACCTCGTCGCTGGAAAAACTCATGGCTCCCGCTCTCCCGATGGTGACTTCCTAGCCAATCTTTCAATGCCAATAATTATGTTTTAGCGGTAATCGAGACACATGAACTTCTGCTGCGTAACACATGCGTCTCATCTAGCACGCTCTCGTTGGGGCTTCCGCTCTCAATCTCTCTCTGCTCCTCCTGTCGGAACTAGAACTGCTCCTGGTCACGGATTGTCGTTTTGTTTATCCTGTCCTTAATGGTGCTAAATTTTCCAGTTGGCCGCCAGATGCGAGAGCATTCTACATATTTTTCCACAAATAAAAAACCAGCGCAAAAAAATGGCGGAGTTTGTCCAGGGTGTCGTGCATGTAGGGTGGCGCTAAGCGGCATTTTGTGTGCACACATTGTGACGTCACAAAATTTCTTGGTAGTGAATAATATGTATCCAGTTTAAAATATTTTAAGCATTTTTGTAAATAAAAAACTTTTTATACAATTTTGGAATAAGTTTAACAAGTTATATACTTTCTCGTATATATAAAAAATATTTTTAATTTAAGTAAACTCGTTTTATGGCTTAAAATATCAACCATTAATACCAAATTGTAATCCATATATTAATATACAGTCTAAAGTTAATTATAAATAAAATTTTTTTTTTAATTTCAGGTAATATTTGCCTAAAACATTACTCCAAAAGGAGTATTCATCCCTGGTCATTTAACTTTGGCCACACAATTATATTGTTATGTTTGTTAAGGATCTGAAAAATTGTCTGCACGGATATAAAAATTGTACATAAAAATAAATAAAACAGAAATATGTTTGGCTTTTACCTATTTAAAGTTATATCTTCTATAAGGCTTCCGCCAATTTCTTTTAATTGGTGATTCGGCTATGAAGTGGTTCCGGCCACACTAATCCCGCCACTCGCGCCCACTAGATGGCTCCACTCACTGGCAGCGAGAGAGAAGAAAAATCAATAGAAATTTTCATTTTAGTGGAACTGCTCTGCATTCGGCAAAAGTTAATAACAAATCGCGGCGATCAGCGAGGCGAAGCGCCCAGGCAGGTGGAGTTACATAAAGTACGTTACCGCCAAGCGACCCACACATTCCGAAGCCAACACCCCGCATCGCCTTGGGCCAACAAGAAAAAAAAAAGAGAGGCCAAGAGACGCTCCGTGAAACTCCGATCTCCTCCTCCTCCACCGCCTAAGAAATTCCACAGCGAGCTCCAACGATTTTCCCCACGGGCTGCAGCTGCTGTAAAATAATCTGAAGGCAAAAAAGTAAGCTGCTTCCCCAAAAACCACAATATATACGCCCATTAATGTTTGTTTCGGTGGGCATCGCTGGTACGAAACGCCTTCGTCATCCAGCAAGAGAAAAAAAAAAGTGACGTGACATGAAAGCCAGAAAAGAAAAGAACGAGCGCACAAAGAGTGAAATAAAAAAAACAGAACATAAAACGAAACAGAAGCCGGTGGTCGTCCGAATAATGCACAAGTGCACAAATCTCACATATCGCCCATAGTCGAGCAATAAAAAGCGAAAAAGTCCCTCAGCGAGGTCAGAAAATCTTTATCAGCGTGCAAATGCTGCCAAGTTGCAAATAAATCGGTTGCCAAAAGTGCGGGGGAGTTCCAACCCCAACCCCTCCTCCCATACCCAAAATGTCAAAGTTCGTTTAATAATAAACGCAGAGACTTAGTTAGATTCTATATTTTAAAAATATTTTTTTTATTTTTATCCACTGCGATATCCTCCCATTCAAAAAATGTCAGCCTTATCTTGAAAAGTACTGAGAGAATTGAAATTAATTAAAATATATAATTAAATATGTTAAGAATTTTTCGATTCCAATACTAATATTTAATTTTTAACACTTTTAATTAACTATATAAATAATTAGAAATTTCTCCATAATTTTCAGGGCTAAAAGAGCGACTCTGTCAGAGGTCCGGAAACACCAAGAGAGACACAGCGAACAAACACTATATATCTCCGATCCACAGTCGAGTTCGAGCGATAAGAGCGCCTCGAGACTCGACCGCCTCCCATCGAATATTTTCTTGCGCCCCCAGTTTGCATAAAACCAGCGAAAATTAACAAGCTAACTACAATGGCGCCGGTGCGGGGGGATGGCATGAGAGGCCTGGCCGTCTTTATATCGGATATAAGGAACTGTAAGTGCTTGAGATCTTAAGTAACCTAACTGTCATTAAATTCAATTGAATGGGGCGAGCCTAGGGCCGTGCCATCGAAGAGATTTTCCATAGGGGCGGAATCAACGCGGTTTCTTCATAAATTACCAGGAGAACCAGCAACCAGCAGCCAGCACTCATAACAATAACTCGGACGGCACTAAAATACACATACAGTAGGCCATCGATATGGTTAATATATGTATTTAATTTTCAAAATATACTAAGATAAAGATAGTTAAAATAGAGTATTTTACGAAAGTTAGTTAATTTTAGTTAGAAAATTTTTGAAAAAGTAATACCTGATCTATAGCCTACTGTTGTGTCCAAAAATTGAGACCATGTGCCTAGTGCGAGTCCCCGCGATTGTTCACTTGACGCTCCACTGTCTATATTGTGTGGCATTATCGTCGCCAGTAACGCTGGTTACTGGTTGGTGTGTCTGACTGGTTTGTGACCAGCATATCAGCGAGGCAGAGGCTTCGTCGCTGCGGATCGGTGACTGGTACTAATTGGCGCCTATGTGACCGGCACCAACATGGAGAGCGTAGCCGGCTGCTTCTCTCCCACCGACCAACCGAGCAACGGAAAAGAAAGCGAAGCTTCCGTTGACGAGTTACTTCTACTGTTTTATTGTGAATTTCCTCCCGTGACCTTGACCCATATACAATTGTACTTAATATATATATTCGTTCCGTTCACAGGTAAAAGTAAAGAGGCAGAGGTGAAGCGCATAAACAAGGAGCTCGCCAACATACGGAGTAAATTCAAAGGAGACAAAACCCTCGATGGATATCAGAAGAAGAAATATGTCTGTAAGCTACTATTCATATTTCTACTGGGTCACGACATCGACTTTGGCCATATGGAGGCGGTCAACTTGCTGTCCTCCAACAAATACTCAGAGAAGCAGATTGTGAGTATGCCTTAAAGGTCCTTCCCGAGAATCCTTTAATGACTTGTCACTCATTTTAGGGCTATCTGTTCATTTCGGTGTTGGTGAACACGAATAGCGACCTGATCCGACTGATCATCCAGTCGATCAAGAATGATCTGCAGTCGCGAAATCCGGTGCATGTCAATCTGGCGCTGCAGTGCATCGCCAACATTGGCAGTCGGGACATGGCTGAGTCGTTCTCGAACGAAATCCCCAAGCTGCTCGTCTCGGGCGACACTATGGATGTGGTGAAGCAATCGGCGGCGCTGTGTCTGTTGCGTCTCTTCCGCTCCTCGCCGGATATTATACCCGGCGGTGAGTGGACTTCGCGCATCATTCACTTGTTGAATGACCAGCATATGGGCGTGGTCACAGCGGCCACCTCGCTGATCGACGCCTTGGTGAAGCGCAATCCGGACGAGTACAAGGGGTGCGTTAATCTGGCCGTCTCACGCCTATCCCGGATAGTTACGGCCAGCTATACTGATTTGCAGGTAGGACTTCCCCAACATATCATAAGGACCTAACCTAATCATGCTTAAAATCCCAACAGGACTATACTTATTACTTTGTTCCGGCACCGTGGCTGTCTGTGAAGCTTCTTAGGTTGTTGCAGAACTACAATCCCGTGACCGAGGAGGCGGGTGTTCGGGCTCGTTTGAACGAGACCTTGGAAACGATCCTTAACAAGGCCCAGGAGCCGCCAAAGAGCAAGAAGGTGCAGCATTCGAACGCCAAGAACGCCGTGCTCTTCGAAGCCATCAACTTGATCATTCACAGTGACAGTGAGCCGAATCTATTAGTGCGCGCCTGTAACCAGCTGGGTCAGTTCCTCAGCAATCGGGAGACTAACTTGCGCTATCTGGCTCTTGAATCCATGTGCCACCTGGCTACCTCGGAATTCTCGCACGAGGAGGTGAAGAAGCACCAAGAAGTGGTCATTCTCTCGATGAAGATGGAGAAGGATGTGTCGGTACGTCAAATGGCGGTGGATCTATTGTACGCCATGTGCGATCGCGGAAACGCCGAGGAAATTGTTCAAGAGATGCTTAACTATCTTGAGACGGCCGACTATTCCATTCGCGAGGAGATGGTGCTCAAGGTGGCCATTCTAGCTGAGAAATACGCCACGGATTACACATGGTAAGTGGTGGTTTGGAAGCTCCTTAGAGGGTCTACTAACTCATAGTTTCATCATATCTAGGTATGTGGATGTAATCCTTAACTTGATCCGTATCGCCGGCGACTATGTTTCGGAGGAGGTGTGGTATCGTGTTATCCAGATAGTTATCAACCGAGAGGAGGTGCAGGGCTATGCTGCCAAGACAGTCTTTGAAGCCCTTCAAGCGCCAGCTTGCCACGAGAACATGGTTAAAGTTGGTGGCTATATTCTCGGAGAGTTTGGAAACCTGATCGCCGGGGACTCCCGTTCAGCGCCGTTGGTGCAATTCAAGTTGCTTCACTCGAAATACCATCTGTGCTCGCCGATGACCCGGGCCCTGCTGCTCTCCACATATATCAAGTTCATTAATCTGTTTCCGGAGATTCGTACTAACATCCAGGAGGTGTTTCGCCAGCACAGCAATCTCCGGTCCGCCGATGCGGAACTTCAACAGCGTGCCAGCGAGTATCTGCAGCTTAGCATTGTGGCATCGACGGATGTGCTGGCCACCGTGCTGGAGGAGATGCCATCGTTCCCGGAGCGTGAGAGTTCCATTTTAGCGGTGCTGAAGAAGAAGAAGCCTGGACGGGTGCCAGAGAACGAGATTCGGGAATCGAAGAGCCCAGCTCCGCCATCTGTGGCACAGAATCAGAACAATGCCCACGTGAACAACTCGCACAGCAAACTGAATAACAGCAATGCGAACACTGATCTCCTTGGGCTGAGCACACCACCATCGAATAATATCGGTAGCAATAGCAACAGCACCCTCATCGACGTCCTGGGCGACATCTATGGCAATAGCAACAATAACTCCAATGCTGTCTACAACACCAAAAAGTTTCTGTTCAAGAACAATGGGGTTCTGTTCGAGAACGAGATGCTGCAGATCGGTGTGAAGAGCGAATTCAGACAGAATTTGGGACGTTTGGGTCTATTCTATGGCAACAAGACACAGGTTCCCCTAACGGTGAGTCTGAAATATATATATTTTAAAGATTTACAATAAATTTCAACTCCTATTTTCCCTTTCAGAACTTCAATCCCGTACTGCAGTGGTCCGCTGAAGATGCGCTCAAGCTAAACGTTCAGATGAAGGCGGTCGAACCAACCCTGGAGGCCGGCGCCCAGATCCAGCAGTTGCTCACAGCCGAGTGCATCGAAGATTATGCCGATGCGCCCACCATTGAGATCAGTTTCCGCTACAACGGCACCCAGCAAAAGTTTAGCATCAAATTGCCGTTGAGCGTTAATAAGTTCTTTGAACCAACCGAGATGAATGCAGAATCCTTCTTTGCCCGATGGAAGAATCTCAGCGGGTATATATAAGGATATTTATTTTATTCTTTAGCTACTATATTAATCTCTCTTTTTAGGGAGCAACAACGGGCACAGAAAGTGTTCAAGGCTGGCCAGCCGCTGGATTTGCCTGGTGCCCGCAACAAACTGATGGGCTTCGGTATGCAGTTGCTGGATTCGGTCGATCCCAACCCAGACAACATGGTATGTGCGGGCATTATACACACGCAATCCCAGCAGGTGGGCTGTTTGCTGCGATTGGAACCGAATAAGCAAGCTCAGGTGAGTGTCCAGCTATCCTCGATTGGGGTAAAAAATAAAAACTATATCTGATATCTTTTATAGATGTTCCGGCTGACGATTCGGGCCAGCAAAGAGACGGTGACCCGGGAGATATGCGACCTGTTGTCGGATCAGTTCTAAGCCACAATCATGGACGGCGGGGAAGGGAGGGGTCGAGTTGGGGCTACACTAAGCCACTAAGCCACGGCGGCAACCACTTTATAATGCACAATCCCAATCAGCTAGATAAATATCAGAGCCGCTCCCATCTCTATATACACGTACCTTCTCACATCTTCTTCAGCAGCAAGAAGAGCTTTACCAACTGTCTGTCTATCTGTCTCCCGATTCCAGATATCTGATTCCTGTCTTATTCTAATATTTGATTTTAATACATCCTTTTTGTAATCCCCCCAGTTGTACTCCCCTCCATTTTCCACGTTCCACCCAACACCCGAATCCGTATCAGAATTCTTTGTAAATGTTAAGCTCAAAAAGTTCATAGTAGTGAAGCGAGAGAACATAATTAGATTATGTTTAAATGTGTATGACAAATTATATATATTGTTGCATCATTTCGAGGCAGTAGCAATTGGATATTATATACCTATAACACAGAAGATATACATTCATACAAACCACATACATATACCTAGTATATACGTCGTTGTAATAAAAACAGAAAAACAATACAAAAACTAAAAAAAGGATAAACGCTTGCAAGCAAAAAATTATTAAAGTGCATGCAAATGACAAAACAAAAAACAAAATATGCAAATCGTTATCTAAATATTTATACATATATTGATTATTGCAATTGCATCAAAACGAAATTCATGTTTAGTGTTTTTGAATCCTGATGCCGCCGGAGCCGCCGGAGCAGAAATCTCATTACAAAAAATAGACAAATAACTAGAGAGATGGATCATGAAAATTAACTCTTTTTTCCATTAATCATTGTTGAGAAAAATTATGGTAAACAAATTTAAAAAATTGAATTTTTAATAGACAAAGAAAAGGGCAAAAAAAACAAAGCATTCAATATAATTATTATACGTATAGCAGAATTTCTTAATTGATCCTGCGTATTATTTCGTTTCGTATGTGTACCATAGATAAAGCTGAGGATAACTAAAATGTTGTGCCGCTTCCTTGGAAGGGGGAGGGGGATCGATCTTATATAGCACCAAGTATTAAAGCCATAAATCTGCAGAGGGGCAAATAAAAAATAAAAAAATAAAACACCTCGATTCCGAGGCGGCATGCCGATTAAGAACAAAGAATTGTAAACTAAAATATACATTATATAGATACTGATACCGAATACCGATACCGAATACTGGAAATTGTCGTCGTATACTTATTATCACTCAAAACTCTCAATATCTTTCGTATCCATGTCGTCGTCAGTTGGAAGTGCAATAGTTAATTGTTACAAAAAATTCCACGAAAATTCCATTAAGCCACCACAACAAATACACTGAGAAAAAAACGAGATCGAACATCAGAACAGAGACAACCACAACTACATATAGCAAATGCAGGAATTTAACTGTAAACGTAAATAAATATGTATTTAAATAAATAAATAAATATAAATTGAAATCAATCAGGTCATATTTTTTATTTATAATTTTTTTTTTTAACATTATTTTAAAAGAGTAAAATAACTAACAGTGTAATCTAGAATCCGCTTAGATCTCGTTCAGCTTGAACCTGGCATTGATGTTGACCGAACTCAGTTCGGTGACCAGGAACTTGAAGGAGAAGGGAATTTCTATCATGGAGACGGCACTGCTGTCTCCGCACAGACGACACGTCTTCGGGTGGGCGGAGAGTCCTCCTGTCTCGTTTCGCTTCACGATCTGCTGCAGTGGCGCCAGAATGGAGCCGCACTTGTGGCACACCAGCGTGTGCGTCTTGTCCGAATTGTGGAACAATCGATCCTGCAACAGGAACGCAGCTCCATGGGAGATTAAAGCATCGCGTTCCATCTCTCCGAATCGCACACCACCACCCCGTTTCCTACCCTTGATCGGCTGGTGGGTACGGGCCTCTACAGCTCCCGTGGATCGCACCTGCCACTTGTCGAACACCATGTGCCTGAGCCTCTGGTAGTGGACCACTCCGAAGAATATATCGGCCGTCATCTCCCGTCCATCCACACCGGAATACAGCCTCTCAGTTCCGTAGTAATTGTATCCGCCAGCCTCTAGCATCTTTCCAAAGTAGTCAATGGCCGTATTCTCCTCCGAGAAACGGAAAGGCGTGGCATCGTAAACATTCCCGTGCATGGCCGCACTCTTGCCCGCCATCGTTTCGATCATCATCGCAATTGTCATACGGGAGGGGAAACCGTGAGGATTGAACACAATATCCGGAATCAGGCCAGACTCCGTAAAGGGTAAATCCTCGGCGGGGTACTTCTGCGAGCAGATGCCCTTCTGGCCAGCTCTTGAGGCAAACTTGTCTCCAATGGTAGCCGGTCGTGGAACTCGCAGCGTTATGGCCACCATTTTCTTAACGGAGACATCGAAACCTCCCAGCTGCCGGATGCTGTCCACAAAACAGTCCTCCTTTTCGTCCATTTTAACCACCTTGTAGGTGGCTACCTCGCCGTCAAAGTAGCAATACAAAGGATTTCCGTAACTCAGTTTCGAGCCGGGATGGGGTAATCCATCCGTGTCCAGATATTTGGCCAATTCTGGCATGTGCGGATGACGGCAGAAGTAGTTGCCCTTCTTGTCCAACGTCACAAACTTGGTTTTGTAAATGCTACCATAGGCGAATCCTCTTTCGTAGGCCGCCTTGTTGATGATCATAGCGTCCTCCATGTCGTAGCCAGTGTAGGAAATAACCGCCACAATGGCATTGGTGCCCATTGCAAAGTCATCTAGCTGAATATTGTCGTAGTGGACGGGCCGGAACAGAGGCGTTCCTGGCGTCTGTAGGCGGTACAATTTGTTGGCCGCCTGCTTGGGCCAGTTCAAGCAGGGAGTTCCCATTGTCTGTTTACCCATCTGACACTGGTACATGTTACGTGGCGACTGGTTGTAGTCTGGCATGGGAATCAAGTTGGCCAGGTTGCTCATAAAGTGCGTTTTGGCCAACTCCAAGTGAGTGGTGAAATCCGGGTACATTTCCTTCGGATCGATTGCGATTTCCATATAGAGCTGCTCCAAGGATCCAATATATTCCACTTTCTTCCATTTCAAGTTCCAAACGGGCCGCATCATCCTAGCCGGGCCAGTGGCCAGAAATAGTCCTGGGAACTGCCCGTTCTTCTTGAAGGGAATAAAGCCGATTTCCAACATCTGCGGAAGACCTCCAAAAATCTTTCCATGTCGCAGCTCCTCTACTATTTTTGTGGCATCTGATTGGTGGATGTGACCCAAGTGCTTGCCATCCAGGAAGACCACGTAGAGCTTGGCATCGGGATCTCGGCGATTGGACAACGGTAGCATGCCCATTTCTATAAGTTTTGAGGGAATGGCCTGAAAATAGAGTGGAATGAGTACAAGTGGTGGCTCATAAATATATACCAACGACTTACCTCCACGAGCTTTGGATCTGGTCGCTTGGAAATCTCACATGTGAGGGTCAAATGATTGAGCAGACCGCAGGGTGTGCCGTCAGGCGTGTGTACAGGACAAATGAATCCCCAAGCATCGGGTAGCAGCTGACGTGCTTCTGTGGTGCGCATCGTAGTGAAGTAGGAACCTCGATGTATGGCCCGGAAATGGGACATGTAACGCATCCGGTTGATGTTCTCGGCCATGATTACCAAGCCACTGTTTTGCATCAAGCCCAGACCAGTACGGCTGACAATGTTACCCGTTGCCAGAAAGGACTCCATGGCGCGACCCACTCCTCCAGCCTGGCGCATGCATTGGGTCAGTATAGAAGCGTTCAACAGGGAGTCCGGAGTGACCAACTTTTTCTGAAGACAGCGGCGAACTTGCATCATCCAGGTCTCTATGCGTTCGCCTATGTACTTTTGATAGAGAATCCCTGGGACCAGTACCTCCTGCATCATAGCCGAGTCCACATTCTCCACTTTCTGTTTTCCCTGCGCGCACTGAAACAGTTTCTGGACCATAAACACAATCAGCTGGAACTTATCCTCATAGCTGTCCAAATGAACCATAATCCTTTCCTTCAGAATGAAATCCGTAACATTCTCGTCGGGCTGCCATTCAGGAACCTCGGGGAATCGGGATCGGAAGAGGTTACCAATAAAGCTTCTGCACTGAGAGTGGGTGTATACATTTTCGTTCTGGACTTCCCTTAGCATTGACTGCACGCAGGACAAGTAGTACTGATCGGTTTCGTAGCCCTGAATAAGCCGGTTGTATATCTCCTCGTCCGTGTAATCCATGAGGCACTTAAGGATCAAGCAAACCGGAACGTACGACAATCTTTTCACATGAGAGAACATAAACTTTGCGGTGCCGTTGTTCAGATAGTGGAGTACATTGTTGAAGGAGGTCTCATCCTCTCGAACTGTCTGCACCAGCACACCTATGTCGCTGAAGTTCTGACCGCGATCCTTCCACGAGGACCGCTTTATACAGATGGGATGATTCCTCCTGGTCATGATTAGCATTCGGACAATCTTTTCGTTTCCACGAATCACAAAGATTCCGCCCCACTCGGTGTCGTGTTCCCCATGTTTCACCATATCCTTGGGGGAGGCCTTGCCGAGATTACAGGCTTTGGAACGCAGCATAATGGGCACTTCACCGAGATCAGTATTAATTGGAGGACTGTTCACTCCATTCACACTCCAACCCAATCTCACGGAGCACATTCCTGAGTACGAGACATGCAGCTGTCTGGAATCCGTAGGGTATATTTGCCTTGTGCGCACATCAATCACATCCTGAGGAACCTGTGGCTTCGATATCCAAATGGACTCTACATTGAGGGAGATTTGTTCTCCGGCGGGACTCTGCCAATGGACTGGTACCATATGCTTCGCCACAAGGTCCAGCCCCACGGTCAGCATCTCGTCGAAGGAGTCCACATGTGGTGCACCCAAATTGGCTAGATGCTAAAAACATTAATTGTTGAGTGCCGCAAAGAGAGGACGAACTTTTTCCACTTACCCTGTTTAGTTTTTTGGGTATTTCCTTGAATTCCGGTCGAGAATTTGTCAGCACCGGAGTGGTCTTCATCAGTTTCATCTCCTCCAACATTTTGTCATCTGTTTCTCTCACAAAATCGCTTAAAATAAAAAATAAACACGAAGAACTTGGTGCTGCACGTGTTTAAAATGTTCACACAGAAGTTGCCACACTTTTGAAAAAGAACTAGCTTAGTGAACTGGATCGCAATCAATTTTAAATAAATAAACATTTTTAATAATAAATAAATAAATTACTATTTTAGTTGTGTTTTATCTTATTAATAATATTTCATATATTTTTGACTAGTTTATAATTATTTTGAGCTATAGTAAAGCCTATTGTTTGCACAAAGAAATAGTTGCCAACCAGCGTTGCCATCTTGGTCGCTTAAGTTGGCGCGTAAACCTTATCAATGAAAATTTGAAAATGTTTTCCAATTTGCGAGAGATTAAAATGCATTCTATTAAAGAAATGCAACTCCAACAAATCAAGATAATGACCTGAAAGCAACTCTAAATGCGTTCGTGCATTATTTGCATAGTTATCGAGGTACGTGTTATTTGCATGTAGGACAGCTCCTGCGGAAATGAGACTTGGCACCGGAAGTGTCAACGTGTTGCAGTCTCCCTAATCAAGTTGTTGCATTGTTATGCTGTATATAAGTCAAAGCCACCCTTAAATCCACCCCCACTTCCTGCTTGTGTCTGCTAGGGTACTTGGCCTGAAATATATGCAAGTTTGTTTGGATTACTTATTCTTGATTTGGATGATGTTTGGGTATTTTATGTTCATAAAATATAGAGAAGAGAATATAAATACATCCTTCAAATTTATAGTATATATTTTCTCACTGTGTAATTAGAAAATCCTATTTTCTTGCATTGTCCTTCAGCCATAACTTTGACTTTGGGTTCCAAGTTTCTCTAATTAACCGCAGGCTCTGAAAGCTGTCAGCATAATGAAGGAGTTCAGATGAAGCTTGCTTTTTGGCCATTAAGTTAAGAATATTTTGAGGTTTAATCTTCAGAATCTTCAGGACACTGCAGAGGCTTGAGAATAGACAGCAAAATTTCACTAACGACGACAAATACATTTCTTGTATTTTAGTTTATTCTTATTATTTAAATATAATTATTATTAAAAATATAAAAAGGACAAAAAGGTATTTTAGCAACCCACAATCTGCGCAACAGCTTTCCCAGGGATTTTTGTGTTCTTAATCTGAGCCCAGGCTCTCCAGTATATTATTCCATTACAATGCACACTTTCTTGCCACTTTTTCGGGGCCCCGTGTCCTTGGCTAGTCTCCTTGCAACTTTTGCAGCACATTTTCCTGGATGCAATCTCTGAAAAAGTTTGGGGGCGGCTGGTCCAAACTTTTGCCAGGCGCTGTAAGTTTTTAGACGGATTTTTGTTGTTTTCAGTTTTCCGCAAACAACAGAGAGCGCAAACTGAAGAACTGAAACTACGAGAGAGAAGCACATTGGCAAATTGCATTGTTGATTTTCATTTTCAAGCCTGAGCTACACTCCTTCCTGACAATGGCGATGGCGGTGGCGACACTTTGCCAAATGCGTATTTCCTTCGTCCTGCAACATCCGGCTCACCTCTTTCAAAATATACACCCCCTTTTTTTGGTTTCGCTGGGAATCATTTCTGCGTGCTTCCCCCTTTTCAAATGAACACAAAAAGCCAGTAAAAATTTCAGCTACCAAATGTATTTTCATTTAAAAGTTTTCCACGGAAACTGTTGCCTGGATCGGACACAGACCCCAGTTTTCTACCAACACAAATTTATTGATAAAGATATTATTAGAAGTGATAATGCAAGTGGGTCAGTTATGGAGTTACTAAAAGAATAAGGGTTAGGATGATTAGGAAATATGTGTAAAGGGCTATCCAAATCTTTAAAGAACTTAAAACCTTCTAGGTGACACTTATCCATTATAGGTCCTTGACTGGTGATTGTGAAATTCATTGTCTTGTCGAGCGATTTGACAAGTGTTTTGTTTTCTTTTCATTAAATCCATTAGTCATAATTAAAGTGACGCGTGGATCTAAATTTAAACACCTTCATGTGACAGATTCGTCTAATTAAATTGCATAAAATCTTAGAACAATAATTAAGAAATTTTTGTTGCGGGAAGAGTCATGTGTTTTCCGAGGAGGAGATTTGCGCAAAAGTCCCAGACCCAGACCCTCAGAATAATTAGTTTTCCCTATAAACATGTGTACTACACCATTTTCACGGAGATTCCTTTCCCGAGAGACAAACAAAATTTAATTCTGAAAAAATAAGAGAGCGGGACAATAGTGGGTTAAAAATAGCCAAAATCTATTCGACGTGTTCTCAGTTTTTCTCGAGCTGGCCAAGCGAAAAGTTCCGTTCGACCGTCGAACGGATAGAATTTAGAATCGAAAAATTTTCCAACCTTACGAATACATATAGATTTTTATCATATGTATACTAGATAGTTAAATATTACTTTATTTTTAAGTTAATCTACAAGTGAGATGTGTCAAAGTGCCTTAAATAATAAAGAAAAATAAAAGAATAGTTACCGAAAATCCTTGGCTGAAAAGTAAAAGTCAATAGAAAATTGCGAAATCGAAAAACTCGTGTGGGATCGAATACAGACATCGGTACATAGATATAGACACCAATATTTTTGTGTGTATATATATATTGGTCTCGTATCAATTGGAAGTGATCTGTAGAACGGTGGACCGTTGGGTCGTCTTCGTTCTTTGTGCTGACGAAGAGCTTCTTTTTTTCTAGAAGAAAAGTCGCATTAAAGCGTATCGTAAATAAAAACGCTTGCCAGGCGAAGACCATCAACACAGCAATCTTCGTCATTTTGCATCGGTAAATAGATCGCCACAACCGCATACCAGAGATATTCGCCTTTGTTCTGACTCGATTGAAGGAAAAAATGGGTAATACCGAGTCCACAGAGTCGCCAGATGCAACGCAGAACCGGAGGCAGTCGGCAGCAGGAGGCGCACAAAGTGACGAGCCCTGGTGGAATGACATCGAGCATGAGAATCTGATTTTGGAACAGGCCCCCCAGGAAATAGCACCCAAACCGGAGGTGGTGCCACCGAAAATTGTAGGAAAAATTCAAGAAAATCCAGTCTTGGATGCAGCTGCAACAATGGAAGACAAAGAACAGAGTATTGAGGAATTCAAGGAGGAGCTGCGCCAGAAACGAGAAGCTCGTCAAAATGCTGTTCAGGATTTGAGAGACGAGGTAGCCAACCTGAAAAGGCAACTGGCCAAGGAAAAGGCCGAAAATCGTCGCCTGAGAAAGGAAGAAGGCGACGAGGAGCAGCCGGAGGAGATTCCAGAAGATCCTAACTTGGATCCAGACGACGAGAATCCTACTGCCAGGAGTCGACATGCCAATATAGAACTCGCCAATGCCCAATTGGCCCTGCAGCAGGCTCAGGCCGAGAATTTGACTCTTCGGGGAGAGGTGGAAGTGGTTACCCGCCAGGTGGGCACACTCAAGGAGGTCATATCCTGTTGCAAACAAATGTTGAGCGTCAAGGAAGAGCAGTGTGCTCAGGTAAGTAATAATAGTTGTTTTTATTCCATCAAATAATAGATTTTATTTTTGAAATAAGCTCAAGATGAAGCTAACCCAAATCGAAAACTCCTTCAGCGAGCGGGAGATGAAAATCATGTCGAATAACTTAAGGCAGGAGTACGAACGTCAGTTGGTGAACATCCGCCAGTTGAGGCAGCTTTATGAGGAACGCCAGAGGGTGGCGGCAGCGGAGTATGAGAATCTTCAGCGCTTGATTTCGATCAAGAAGGACGAGCTCATTGCCGAGCAGGAAAAGTATGTCCTACAAACTACTTTTAAAAGCAAGTTTTAATTTCTTTTCTCTAATTTAGAACCAAAAGCTTTGAGGAACGCAACCAAACCCTTTTAAAGGAGGTTGAGACCGCCAATGATGAGTTGGCCAAGTTGAAAGAAGAATGCAATGAACACACATTTGAGAAGCGACTCCTCAGCGAGCAAGTCGGGTCTATTAACATGGTAAGGATATATAATTTCTATTTAGAAATCAAAATCTAACCCCCCCATTTACAGCTCTTCAGTCAATTAATCATGGGTTTCAATGGCAAGAGCAACCTGGACATCGATCGCCTCAATCAAATGCTGGAAGAGAATCGCCAGCTCCTTAATCAGATGACCCAGGCTGAAGGAAGCTGCAGTGATGGCGCTACTCTGCCCAAGTTACTCTTCGAACTTGTGGAACAGGCCACCGGCCATGGGGATTCCCCTGACGAGTCTTCGGACAAGAGCCGTAGTGCCACACCCACGCCCACGAACACGCCCATGGCCACAAACGAGGATACCACGGACAGTTGTAAACCCGAAACGGCCGCTACTGTCGGAACTGGAGCCGTGGCAGGAGCCGGAGCAGGAGTCATCAAAAAGTATAGAAAGAGGAGCTCTGGAGGTGCTGGAGCTGCGGGTGGCACTGCGGCTTCGTTAAAAAGCCATGAGCCCGAAATTATGGGAAAAGTTGCCTCGGCCCAAGAAATCATTGGCAACTTGCCAAAAGTTTGGAAAGTGTTGATGGAGCTCTTGAGCCACCACAAAATCGAGCGCGTGCAGTTCGAGGAGCTGCCATCCAGCAGCGGTGTGGCATCCTCAACGTCAGTTTCTGGAAGGGATGCTGGCGTTTCTGGTGGTGGAGATACCCACCGCAAGCCACCGGAGCTAAGCGTCAGCAAGACCTACATTAAACTGAAGGTGAGCCCAATTCTTGGTTGATGCACTAAGAAAATAATCATAAATTTGTTGAATGAGGTCTAAATAACTTTGTTAAGATGGATGGAAGCATTTTGGAATTCTCTTAAAGGTTATATAGATAGTATACCATTTATACTAGACTCTTTAGGGAATTTAAGTTAATTTTTAAATATTCTTTAAATATAATTCTAGATTACACTTCATTTTTTTGAAAATTTTCTAGCCAGGCCTTCGCTTCTACTTTTCAAGAGCTGCGGACAATCAGGCTTGTTAGTTGTCGTATCCGGTTTGCTGATGAAGTGCAGCCTGCCAGCCTGTGCCACCCCCTAGTCTTCGTCTCCACCATCTGCCCCAAATGCCTCTTCCGCCCCCACTTTCCACCCATTTCCGTGCTTCCGCTGTGGCTGTTGCAAAGTTTTGCATTATTCACTTAAGCGCTTTATTTAGTCGAGTGCCGAGCCAGTCGGCCGAGTACGAGCAGCTTCATTATTTCTGACGTCCTGCCGAGTATCGAGTGTAAACAGGGGGGTGGTGGGTGGATGGGCAAGGTCCTTGCAGCCCGGCCAGTTGTTGTGCGCATAATTGAATTTATCGGTCAGTTGCCGTTGGCGTAAAACATGTTGCATGTTGCAGCTTCCGAACTGGTCAAGTAGAAATTTTTTGTCTCTGGCATATTAAGGACTCTCGTCATACCTGTATCAGAGGTTATATTGTGGGTCTAGGTTCAAGTTTTTTGGATTAATGAGCTTTAACTTTATTGACTTTTAAGAAAAAATTAATTAACATTAGCCTATTATAGTATTATTGCATATTATTTTTCTTAAATAGAGTATCAAATAATCGATTTCTAAAATTTATTTTTAGCATTATTTTGGTAAAAACTTTAAACTCTAATTGATTGAAAAGTTTCTTCAATAGAGCACTTTAAAAGTTTACCACAGACTTTTGGAAGTTATTGTTGCTTAAGATGTACCTATAGATTAATATCCTTATCTTTCCCCTTCCAGGATCTCATTCTCGAGAAAAAGTCGCTGGTGAAGGAGACCACCCGCCTGAAGACCCTCAACAGCCATTTGGACTACCGGCTCAATGAACAGGAGAAGCGCTTGAGCGCGGTGAGCTTGGAGCTGACGAAGACGTGGCACCTGGTGGGCAAGATGCAGCGCCAGCACCGCCAACTCCACACCCAGGAGCAGATCCTGCGCTACCAACTGCAGCAGAAGAGGCGCCTCTTGAGCGAGCTGAAGGACGAGCTGGAATACTGTCGGAGAAAGTGGGCAGCTGCCCGGGCCAAGAACGATGAAAGCCAGGAGCAGTGCGACGAATGGCGCAGGGAGTTTGCCAGGAGGAAGCTGGAGGATGCCAATCATTCGGCGGAGAGTGGATACAGCGATTCGGGTCCGCAGTCGGACGAGGAAAGAGAAGTGGTGGCAGTCGGAGAAGAGGCCACACCTTCAACCTCAGCTTGTCGGCGAAAGTTGCTCCGCGACCAGTTCGAGCACACACGCAGGATTAAGAGGATGCAAAGTACATCGCCAGGACGTCAGGCTTTCGCCGGCCAGGATGATGAAACCGAGGAGATTGTCTTGCGCTGGAACAGTGCTCCACCGACATGTGGATGGAGAGAGGTGGAACCAGAACCTACAGAACCTTCCGAAGAGTCACCCGATGAGGAACTGGAAGAGGGTGGAGCACAGGGTGGCATACCAAAGACACCCCACAGTTCCAGAAGCCGGCAGAGAGTAGTCATGCTTGCCGAATCTTCAGAGTCTGCAGATGGCACCGCCAGTCGCATCCAGAGACTTGAGGAACAGTGCAAATCGCTAATCCAACAGGTCCTGGAAACCTCTGGTAACCGTGAACGGCTTGAGATTCAGCTGTGCCAGTTCCAGGACGAAATCTCACCAGCCCAGCATGCTGTTCCCCTGGAGGAGTTCATTAACCGGAAGCGATTGGAGCGGATGACGAGGGCCAGTTCAGCTCCGGCTACTGGGACATTGACCCCGCGGGAAGAAGAGTACACCAGGCGGCGTTCAGAGAGACTGGGACGCCTGGAGGAGGAATCTCGTCAACTGATGTCTAGAATTCGACGCACCGCGGACAGGGGACACTACTTAAAAAAATCCCTGGACAGGATTCGCCGAGCACCCAGTCGTGAGGGCAGCTTTGAGAGTAATACAGAAGAAGAGGTACCGACTCCCACTCCTACGCCCGCATCAGAGCCGGCTTCATCTTCCGATACCATTCACAATGAATCATCACCAGCTCCCTCGCCTCTGACCGCCGCTGAGGAGGCTTATACGTCCCGACGAGCTGCTAGGCTTCAACGTCTCGAAGAGGAGGGTCGCCAGTTGATCACCCAATTAGCCAGGAATACTGAAAGGGGAGATGCCCTTGCCACTAAACTGGAGACTCTACACGAGCAACACAATCCGGAAAGGCAGCCAGAACAGGCACACACGTCGGCACAAATCTCACAGACTGTGGAGCAGCGACTGGAGGACATTGAAAGGGTCTCGGCCCATCGAGCCGAACGTCTCCGTCTGCTGGAGGTTCAGGGCAATGAATTAATAGCCAGGTTGAGTTCCACATCCGAAAGGGGCACCGCCATGATCAACAGGATAGCGGAAAGGGAAGCCATTCGTCGCCAAGAGGCGGAACTCGTAGAGCAGACATTACCAACGGAAGAGGTCACCAGTTCCGTGAGCCCCATAGCCTGTACCAGGATTGTCGGTGAGCCGGAGGACAACGGGGATGAAGCAGCCTGTTGTGCCACTGTGACTACCACATCCAGCCGCTTGGCCACTCAACAACAATCCACGGGAGCCATTCCCAAGACCACCACGACTTCAAGAAGCAAGCCTCAGGCTCAGCTCTGCGCTGCCACTCGTCAGGATGATGCGGTGAAAAAGCGATCTTCCGGTAAGGAAGTTCCTAAGGAAGAAGCTCCCGAAACACTTGAGGATATGGTGCAGCGACTGAGGGCTCTACCTTTTCCAGAGAAATCCAAGGAGAACTCTATTGAGAGGAAAGAAAATAATGTGGAGGAAGATCAGTTGCCAGAATTAAGTTTCAAGGAGTTAGAAGAGAAGGATCTAGATGAGCAGAAAGAATCTGAAAGTAATGAGCTGCAAGTTTTTCCTGAAAAGCAAGATGCTGAGGATAAGGAAAAGGATAAGGAAAATAATAGTCAAGATAATGTAGTTGAAGAAAACTAAAAGATGTTCACTAGAATATACACGATAACGAATACTCGCTGAAAAAAACTGCTAGGACCAGATAACTAAACCAATATATGTATTGTCAGCTGCATAAATAAATACTTTATAAATAAATATATATTTTATTGTGAAAATGATTTGTTTATGGTTTCACTTAGTAGGAGCGGGTCTTTTATTATAAAATCTTGAAATCTTATAGAAAGGAAAAACCCCTTCTAAATTTACTCTCTTCCCTTTGCCGTTTGCCATAGAGCCTCATTATTTTAAACCGAGAAAAAGGAATCGTAATCCTTTCTATTCGACACCCCCTCCGGCACTCATGCATATATCACTAATCAGCAAAGAAAGTGGAACTGTCTGTTTGTGTCCTTGGCGTTACCTCCTGATCCCCCCCAGCTATCCCAGCCTTCACCCGAAGGAGCCAACAAGGACCGGTTCGTCTTTCCGGGGGACTTATGTGCTCTCTTAGCCACGCACGCAGCCATGACATTGCACGGAAAATGGAAAAACGGAATAAGGAAAACGGGTACTGCCACTGACATGTGTGGGTGGCTGGTTAGCTGGTTGGGTGGCAAGGACGTGGCCACTGGGTGGCAATGGGCGGCGCATTATCTCCGCATATGCAAGTAAAAATGCCAGCGTCCGCTAACAAGTTGGCGACATCGTCACCCGAGTCCTGCGTATCCTTCGAATCCTCCATACCGACTCCCTCATATCCCGACAGCGCAGCTTTATGCAAATGTTTTGCCCCCTCAACTCAAGGCGTGTAAACAGCAATTGTGGGTGGTCTGGGGCGGTGGCTAGTGGGGAGTGGGTGGTGGGTCTGCTCAGGCATAAGGACAACATCGCCTCATATGCTTTTAAAGCGAACAGAGATTGTACATTAACTTATCCGCTGTCTTCCGCCCAACAGCAAACTGTCAACAACGGGAAGTTCTCAATCTGGCTGGCCAGATAATTCCACACACACCAGACATGCTAACAGTTACAAAGGACCTTTAACAGTGCTGTTACAACCTTCCAGTATCCTGTTCTGTAAAATTTACGTTTGAAGTTCATTATGCTTACTAACAGTTCGGTAAAGCTACCCCTGAGGAAAATGAACACTTCCAGCAGGATGTTGGGGTTGTACTTTTAACATTTACAAAGGACCTTTAACAGTGCTGTTAAAGATTGTAGGGTCCTGTGCTTTTAAACTCCTGTTAGGGATTTATTGTGAATACAAATTAAAATTTTTAAATTGTTTAAAAACCATATAGTTTCCAGTTAAAAGCTACTTTCTTTTGAATTTCTTTCTTTTGAGAGTCATTTAATCTCAATAACTTTAAACTGTTTTAACATAGGTTGTAAAGGGGAAATGCAGGATTCTTTAAAATTCATTTTAGAGCTCAACAGCAAACAAGTTTGATCTGCCAAAGAAGTCCTTTTACGTTTGCCAGCAGAACTGTCTGAAGGCCCCTCCAACTTAAACAAAATAGCAGCGTATAAGAGCGTATCGCCATCTACCAGAAACCAACGAAGACTGCAAAAATGTTAACTTAGCTTTCGTAAGCTTTTTGCTACCTTTAAATATTTTCAGATTTCAAAAATTTTTTAAACATTGTAAAATATTTTTGCCATCGCTTTGTTAATCCTTCTCGAACTTCTAATTGCCAAAGTTAACGCCCCTTTGAGCATTAAAAAATTTAGAGCTAAAAATGTATACAAATTGTTGCACCGTTAACTGGTCAATCCGATCATCTGGGACTGCTGGCCTGCAACTGGAAACGTCAAATTAATAAACTGCCGGACGTACCACAAGCTGTGAAAAAGCAATCTTTGTCTGCATGCCAGGCTCTTGGGCCTCCAAGTATTTTCCAGCTTGTTAGTCCAGCTCCAAAGACCCCCATCCGACCCGCCTCTGGCCGCCCCCTCTTTTTGGTAGGGTTTTCGAGCCTTTCAAGATTTATGCAGTTCGCGCGGATGTCGGAGAACCGAGGAAGCGCCGCTCCATTTCAAAATCTGAAACCAAACAGAAAAGATCCAACGTCAAGATCCACTCAAAAAATAGTTTAAATTTTATGTTCTAGTTCTGATAATACAAAAATTTTAATCACGTCCTAGATTAAATATTTGACTTATTTTTTTGTGTTTTTGATTTATGTTTTGAAAGATTTTAAAGTGTTACATTATATATACTTTTTCCGTCCTTTGCAGGAATAGCTAGAACAAATAATAACCTGTCTAACTTTAAAGAATCATTAAATTTATTTTTCCATAATATCTACATTTTTAAAAATTATTTTTTTTATTTTTATCAGTGCTTAGTTGAAGAGTAATCTAATTTATTAAAAGTGCAGCCCCTGGCAGGCTGAAAACCAAAAATTAAAAAAAAGAAACAGAAAACCAGAGCGAGAGAGCAAGTCTCGTTTGGGTTTTGATTTACGCTGAAATAAATTAAAATATCATAAAAAGGAAATTAAAATTCACTCGCACAACAAAGCCGGACTCCGACTTTAACTCCAATCCCAGCTCCGACCCCGACACCGAGTCGATTTCCAGGCCCGACTGGGGGCTCTTAGCTAATTTCTGAACAAGTAAAAATACAAATAAATATTTTAATGTGTGATTTACGACAATGGCTCGCACAGGGGGTCGACTTCGGCTTCAAAGTTGTTTATTTTTTGAGCTGGAACTCCGACTCAGACTCCGATCTTCAGTTGGAGTTGGAGTTGTGGTGTTGGTGGCGTCTTGGGCAGCGTTTTGATTGGATTTCTGCGCTTCTGGCGCTCGTCGGAGTGCCAAGCCCGATTTTCAGCCCAAGTCCCACATTGAAATACAATTTAAGCGCCTTTAATGAACTGACTTTGGAAGGGATTGAAGAGAATATACTTTTAAAGGTTAGTGTTTTAGGGAACTCTAAAAAATAATCATAAATTTTATATCGAAATTTTTAAAATTAATAATAAAAATTAATATTATAAGAAGAAAGAAATATTTAATATTTAAAGCCGCTTAACACGACAGCCAAGTTTTTTGTTTTTAATAATTTGAAAATAATTTTTATGGGACATAGAGAATTGTTATTGGCTCATCAACTGGACAAATTTAATGATCGCATCGCATCGTATCGAATCAAATTAAATCGAGTTGGGTTGCATTAATGGCCGACAATCAATTTCAGATTTATGCCAATCCCCCCCGAGCGCTTCAACATTTTGCATATGAAAACGAACGAGAAGCTCGTAAAATATCCGACATCATATCTTGGCCAGCCTCCGAAAAGGGGGGCAGCCCGAAAATGGCCTGCAATTAATTAAAAAACCATTGACATTCATAAAAAGTAAATTGTGGCAACAGGCAAGCGGAAGCAAACATAATGTCCCACTATTATGAAATTCATCAAACAATTTTACAGCACACCTCCCCAGATCCTCAGAGGCCTCAGAGGGATACCATACCGGTATTGGTACCGATCGAGTGCCAGGCGATGAGTATTTATTAACAGCGAATCGATCGCCGCTTCGATCCCGAAAACACCTGCCAGGCACAAAATTTCCACATAGTGATGAGTGCGTGATGGACAGGGCCATCATAATATAAAATATAAAAAATTATTTTAAAAAAAATTATAGACTTTTCTAACAATATACCATGGAAATATTTTACCAACAACATAAAATATGTTTAGCAATAATTCACATTGTCACCTTTAGAAAAAAAATATAATGCCAGAAAGTTGTCGATGATGATGCTGTTGATGATGATAGTCTTTTGGGGCCGGTGATGCCTCTGATGGAGCTGGTGATGGCTAAGACATTGGCAGGGGTTGATTTGGAGGTTGGTAGACGCAGGAGCCCCAAGCCGGTAACAAGCGCGAAATAATGCGCGAAATGTAGAGCACAGAAATGGACTTTAGTGGACGGGACTCGACTGGCCTGTGACTGGGTCTGAGACTGGAGGATCCAGGAACCGTGGATCCATCAACGGTGGCGACTGACAGAATTATAATCAATTAGTGGAGCGGCCGCGTGAGCGCATAAAATTATATATTCCATGGCAACGGGGAACAGCGACGGCTGGTCGAACCAAATTCGTGTAACGCGTAGTGCAATTTACTTTAAATTAAAATAAATTCAATTACGAGAACATGAAAATCCATTACGCAAATTATTGTCATTAAATGTGCAATTTGGCTGGCCAGCGTTTATTAAATTTTTGATTAAATTTCTGACGCTTCGCTCAGAGCCATTAAGCCACCAAAACAGAAGGCCAAAAGAAGACTCGAGACGAAAGACTCAGGCAACGAACTTGCACATGTCCGCCCATATGAAGAGAGAGACGGAAACAGAGCCGGCTAATTAATTAATTATAATCCCAGCGATTAGCATAGATTTCCTCGCTCTTCTTTTTTGAGTCCCCGAACCGCCACAGCAGCTTTCATTCATAGATCTTGGGTGCCCAGTTTTGGCCAAGTCACACGCCTCTAAAAACGGGTTAAACTTGCTAAACGATTCGTTAGATAAGATATGTGTTTATATGTTTATATATACGTAAGCGATCGCATATGGTCAGCTCATTCACTCGCTCATTTGGTGCTTAGTTAGTGAGTTAGTTAGTAAGTTATTTAGTTTGTTAGTCGGTGACTGACTGACGCGTCTGAAGGAAACAAGCTGCCGAGTGTCGCACTCAATTTGTTTAAGCTAGCCGCAAGTCACTCCGCTAATCAGTCTTTGCTTTATAGGGGATTCCACTTACAAATTTGGGGTAACTCTTAATACCGGAAAGGAGTACAACTAATTGGGTATAAAATAGACTACGTCTTTTTCGAAAAGAGACACAAATCGGAGACATCTCCATAAATTTTGACGAAAATATGAAAAAATATTTTGTTGCCAGATTTTGATGCAGATTGATGAAGAATCGATCCACAAATCATTTAAGGTATTCCGCTCAAGGATCGGATAAAAGTCAGCAGAGATATAGACTATATAGTGGGCCAAATGGGCCTCCCATGCATTTTGATTTTTGTTGCCAGATTTTGAAGAGGCGGTCCCAAACTAATATTTTACCCTCCATAAATTTTGACGAAAATATGAAAAAATATTTTGTTGCCAGATTTTGTTGCAGATTGATGGAGAATCGATCCACAAAT